CAGCCTAGTTTCCACAGTCAGTTTTGATTTATTAAGCAATGTCATCTGATAATATGGGTTCACTGTTTTATCAAGTCCATGTTCATCACTGTAATCTGCTGAGAAGTTAATATCATACCACGCTGAATGGATGCACCAATTTATGCAAAAGAAATCCAGACCTGTTATTACATGCTTATACCATACACTACATGGCCTTTTCAAAAATCCTTTGTTTTAAAGATCCCTTTTTTTCCTGCATTTGCCCAGATCTGCCAGTTCTTTTCCTCCTTCCGTGTACTGCAGCAACAAAGTTTTGTTTTAATATATCAAAAGCCTTCCAGGATATTATTTCTTCTTGTTTTAAAAGCTCGGGTGTCAGTTTTAACTAACTCTACTGCCCAATTTTTGTATTTATTATTAATTATTATTAGATTATTTATTTATTTATTATTATTATTATTCAATGTTTTGAAATTACTTTGTTGCACAGAATTAGATTATTTAGTTTTAAACCGGCATTCTAGGTATTTTGAATATGGCATGTTTATGCAAAATGTTTAGAAGTTGCTCGGGCTTTTACATTATTCACATCATTCTTGTATTATTGTAATTTTAGAGGGTATGAGTATAAGATATTAGTGAAGGCAAGTTTCATCAGTTTTAAGTAAATGTAGTCATTCACTGACCCCAGACACTCACTTTTCCTGCAGCTCCAAAAAACTTGTTGCCTTATAACAAGTCCTGTTGAACACACACGAATACATGCTGAAGAGTGTGATCCCAGGTGTGGCTGGTATAACTCAGTAATGTGTAATAAGAGGATGGAACAGGGATTACATGTGAGGCATCCACGCTTCTCACCTCCGTGGCCTACTTACACTCTTACCTTCCTTGCTTACTTTGCCTCTAGTTGAGTCCTGGGCTGCAAAAGCCTGGCTGAATGATTCATTACAGTGCATGTGTGCGTACTGTATGTTTCTCTAAAATGATGGCAGACTGCTCTAGCTCTGTTTTTTGTGTGTGACAAGCTTGCTCTACAAGTTACACAACCTTAGCTGCAGTTGGGCTGTGTCTTAGTAAGCCAGACAGAGTAGTGTCCCCACATAGAGACAGTGATGTCTCACACACTGCTTTTGCTTGGTTGCTGTCAGCTCAAGGCTTTATTTTCAAACTCGATATGTCACGGACCTGTTCTTCACCATTTCCCCAACTTATAGCTTTTCCATTCTATGGTTATATTGTCAGAATGCCGGGTACTATGTGAAAACACTGTAGTTTGAATGTAAACTCCAAAATGGCAAAAAAGACAAAGCTATTTGTTGAGTCTGACTAACCTAACAAGGTCACATCCTTTGTTTTTGCTGCTCACTGAAGTTATTTCTGTGTAAGATCACTACTTTAGCCGATATTCATAGAGTTACCACAGGAAAACGATCAATGATTTAATTTGATCATACGATCACTTCAGTTCTGAGAATAGCTGCTGCATATTTTTGCTGAATCATAATTTAGATTTTGGCATCAGGATGCTGAGACTTCCTCAGTCTCCAATCCCTTTTAGTGTATCATGTCTTCTGCAGAGGAGGAGCGGTTTGTGGCCTCCACCATCATTGTGTCAGAAGTTAGTGAGATGATTTTAAAGAGCCGAGATGAAACATTACCTGGACAAAAAGGGAAGCTCATTTTGTTTCCAGCATTTTTCTAACCCATGTAGCTTCCCTCCCATAAGCATGAGGCTATCATGCGATCAGGTTGTTCAGTCCGTGAAGCATCAGATGATCTCTAGGCACCAGCTCATTGCCATCTCAATTCAACACTCCTTGTTTGAAGACAACTTTAACAAATAGCCTTGTGTCAGGATGACGTCAATTTGGCCACAACCAAGGGCTAATCTGCACCCCCCTCCCCACCCAGACCTCCATGCCTCTTTGTTGCTTCATGGAGCTTTCTAAAGGCTTACAATTTAGCAAGAACTGATTTGCTGCGGCCCCGGAACGCTCAGAAATTCCTCTCTGTGTTCCCCCTCACGTGTAGATTGTTTACGGAGACGAGGAATTCTAGAGGGATGGTGGGCCGTGTGGGGCTTTGGTTGCCATGGTTACTAACTCCTGAGTGGGGTCCCGTTTAGCAGGAAGGAAACCAAATTGTATGCTGACAGAAATAGGTGCTTATGAAAGTCATGTTAGTTAAAAAAAATGGTTTTTACTAGTTTTATTTTTTTATTAGTTGTGAAATGTTGTGTTAAAAGCACAAAAGAAATCAGAATACTGTTTCTTTAAGTAATAATGCCCATTCAATCAGAGATGCACGCTTTGTAAATCATACATTTAGGCCAGAATCTCTATTTACTTTTGACAAATGGGGATCCTTCTGTTTCAGCAATAAAACTCCTACTTTTCAAAAGTCATTAATAGAAATTTGAAATCCTTTATAAAGTAATTTGTTTGCATGGGAACGAATCAAAATAAATGTCAATGTTTAAGTACTTTTATATTATTGATTAAATAAGGTGAATAATTCAAAATGCAAAGATATTCCTGCAAAACTAATTTTTAAAACAAACAATTTTTTTCAGCTTAATTAAAGAATTGTGATGCAGGCCTGAATTTAACTTCTCCTTCCTGGGAGTTTTTGGACTGGCATCGTAGATCTGGACTCTTTGTTCTGTTCTTTAATGTGCTGTTGGATGTGTAACACAGCTTCACGGCCGTCTGGGAGTGCAGTTGCCATGGTTGTCCGTTTGTGTCTCTGCTGGAAGTTTTCAGTGGGTTACAGACCTCCAAGTCACTTTTACAGTATAAATACAAGGATCCAACATTTCTATGGTGCTTGGCAAGATTTCAGCCCAGTTCACACTGTTTGCTTGTCATTTTTCTTATTTATCAACTGAATGGTGTTATACACAGCAACTGTGTGTGTTTGTGGTAGCAACAGCGCTAGGAGTTCTGGAATGGGCTGGTTCTAAATCTCTTCATTTTAAAGGGAATAAAGGGAGATATACAAAAATTGCTCTGATTCCTTTAAAGTGTTCTTGGCTTTCTGAATTCTGGCTTTCACTTTGGCTTCCTACATGTTATAAGAGAGGGTTTTTTTTATTAATACATGCATAATTCAGAGATCATCCCTGAAAAAACCTAGCAGCACACTGTTCAAATTTCATCTTTAGATACCTTTTTTCCAATGGCAAATGATGCAATTTGTTTAATTTGCAGAAATTAAATGTAAGGCCTTTATCACTAACAAGAATTTGATAGAAAGGGAAATACTTGATGCTCAGTGACATTTTCACTATTGCAGTGACAATAAATACTGAATTTGGAAACAAAAATAATGGAAATAAACCACACCAATCAGATTAGCTTACAGCTGATCGCTGCAGAATTGGCCAAAACTAACTTTACAGAGTTTCTTTTTTATAGCTTAACTGTCTAACTTATTTTTTATGTTATAATATTGTCTGTCAGTTAAAGATAGTTTCTCTCTGTCAGTTAAAAGTTAAATGGTATTTATTTTTACAGAGGACATTTGTATGTTTTCGATGAATAGCCTCAGTCGGATGTCTCCAACCTATAGCTCTTAGGAGCTTACCAAAACTAAAGAGCTCAGCAGAGTCTTTTAGATATAAAAGTAATGAACTGGCTTAGTATAACAGTCAGTTTTTAGTGCAATATCAGCTTCTGAATTTCTAAAGAACAGTGACGGTAATGGTGCAAGGTCCTAGTAAATATGGCACCCAACTGTAATTTTCTGTGACATTCAAGTCCTTGAGAGTTTGGTACTAAACAACAGTGGACACTTCTCTTGAATTACCTGGAAGTAAAATACCTGCATACACATCTTATTGTTTTTTTTTTTTAAAAAAACCTCTTTCATATGACAGGAGGGTTGGTTTGATAATTCCTTAGGTTTAAAGTTTGTCAGTGATTTATTTTGGTTTATAAATTTGCACCTATGTTTTTGATTGTTTTGGCCAGTTTTCTTTGACTGTTGTTATAGAACTGGCTTTTAGGGGTTTGTGTTTAGCAGTTTCTATCTAAAGTAGATGGTCTTTACAACATCTCAAAGATGGGGTTGTGAAACCCCACCTCCCCCCAATCACTTAGAATGGGATCTTGGATCTACTGCATAAATTAAACTTAACAAAGATTTATGTGAAAATGCTTAAAGATATAAAAGAACGACTTAAACATGGACAAAACCCAACTACTTTGGTTGTTGAAGCGGTTTTCTATATTTTTACACCGGGGTTGTTTTTTTTTTTTTTTACCAAAATGTTTCTATTCTCCAACAAGAATTTATTAATTGAATCTGGTACCTGGTATTTTTTGGGTAAGAAAAGAAAATAGGTAACGTTTTCTTTATGAGAATTTCAGCTCTTCTTTCAGAAGATTAAACTTCACAAGATAATATAAAACTCAGGATGTTTGGAAGCACGTGCTAATAAATGAATACTGGTTTTTAAAGGTTTTATAAACAGTAGTGCTGATATTTAAAGTGGAAATGTGTTTTATTTTGTAGAATAAATACTTAATTCGATAACAAAATACCTATAATAGAAGTTTAAATGCTACAACCATGTTAAATAATTGGCTAATACTCGCTTGCGTTTCCTCCATCATGACCAAATATGGTCATTTCTATCCATACATTATTTCTGCTTCATATGAAAACTCCTTTAACACAACTGTAAATTATTTAATTAAAACATTACTTCCTACTAGCAGTAATCTTCTCAAATTAAATCAAAATATTTTTTTGTCAACCAAACGAAATCAAGTCTGTCTTTTCTTGTTGCATATGAAACATTTTTTCCTTTTTCTACTTTTAGAGATTTTAAGCCATGGAGCTTTGATATAACAAAATATGTAAAGTAAAGTGCCTTGAGATGACATGTGTTGTGAATTTGGCGCTATATAAATAAACTGAATTGAATTGAATTGAATTGAATATTCAGGTAAAAGAAGGCCAATACTTAAACGGTTTTATTGGTTTCTAACCCTTTTATCCCTTTTTTTCAGACCACATTAACGGAGGTGCAGTTTGGACCAATGAAGCTATTTAAAGACCCACTTCAGGTATTGTAAACAATGCTACAGTAGATAATTATTGCTTGTATCTATCAGTAGCTGAATACTTTTAGAGTTTTAGAGCTAAACTTGGTCAAATTGTCATTAGATTTTTTTTGTAAGGATTAATATTTAAAACCTGCTTTTGTGGGAAATTAGTGTAAATAGTGAATATCTAGGACATGCCTCTTCGCTCTAAGAAACATGTAAACGGAGAGGAGGGAATCTCAATTTGTTAATGGATGTGTTGTGTGCAATGCTGCATTGGGCTGTCAAGGCAACGTGGCCAAATATTTGAAACTGGGAACATACCATAGTGAACAATGCATGTTCTGGAAGAACTGCACAGAGGATCACCAGTTTCGTCACTGCAGGCACGACCTTCGCTGACCTTCACTGGCTCATGACACAGTTTGTGTTTGTTCCAGCAACATGTGTCGCTACTGTTGTGAGAAAACTTGGAAATCCAACTCTGTAGGAATTTTAAAAGCAATTTGAAAGTGAATTTGTTATTAAACCTCGATCGTAGCATGTGTATAGAGTTGATGAGGAAACATTTTTCCGTACAGAAATACCTTTGATCTTTAGGGTTACAATATACAAGAATCTAATTGTTGTTCTCTGCTTATGAAGTGGGGTTATTTATTGATTTTTTTTTTTTCTGTTTTTGAAATTTTCTGGGGGTTTTTTGTTTTGTTTTTTTCCTGATTGTTTTCTATTCCAACTAAAACACAGCTGGGGTTATTCTGAATTAAGCCCTCTGAAAAAATCCTGTGTATTGTGGGCTCACAAACTGGACTTCATTGTTTGATGCACTTGAGTGTGGCCATGGTAGGAAAACGAGGTAGAGAGATATCCCCTTCCTGTTTTTGTCATTCACAGCTGATCCTGCCATGCCCTCCTCCTCTACTCCTCCTCTTTTCTCTCGCCTCACAGGATCTGGCTGGGCCCTTTCAGTTTTCACCAATAATGTTGTCTAAACTGGGTGATCAGGCACTGCCAAATGCTTGCCAACTTTTTTCTCCCCCTCCAGTGCGACTTTCAATAACATGGATGTGTTCCTGCTTTATTTTACATTTCTGAAAAATTAGAAATAACATTTTTAATCCAGAACAAATCGTCACACATTAAAACATTGTGAATCTGTTTTTGAGGAGCTGATCTCGGCCTGTTTTAGCCAGGTCCAAAGCCTCTGAGGGAATGTTGACTCTCCTCCCAACATCCCAATGTGGAATTCTGATCTAATTCCCCGTGCGTACCGAACATAGTTGCAGGACTCAGAGGTGATGTATTTATGACCTGTGCACTTATTCCTGCTTGTAGGCAAAATACTCCTACAGCATGTGGAATATGGTTTACATTTGAAACACCTCTGTCAGACAGAGATTCGCTGCCTCTCTTCTTCAGTCCACTTTCAGCTAGCTGAAATCGTGGAGCCATGTCGAAACAACAAATTCTTGCAGTCTAGTCATTCTGTCCTGACTCAACCTCACAGGTGCGACGCAAAGCAAAACGTGCAGAACAAGCTTCCTTTTCTTTACATTCACTCTGCTGCCTGCCAACAGACGGAGATGACGTCTGTTTGAGAGAGTGACTCATGAATCTACTCTTAGTGCAGCACTGCTCTGGGAGGCGGGCCTAAATCTCCCGTCCAGTATTTACGCAAGTGAAGGGAAGGCGGGGGGGGGGTTGCATGAAAGCGTGGTGGCAGAGAGGGAGCTGGCTCTCAATGGCTGGCTTGATGGTAACTGCAGCACTTTTAGCCATTCCCTTGGCAGACCTGTTGGGGTTGGAGATGAGGTTCTGGGGGGGCTGCAGGGAGTCAAGGCCACCTCCACTAATTGGGTCATAGATCATCAAGGCGGACAATAAAACTTGTGACGCACAAGAATAAGAGCTGAGCCTGATCAATCTGGGCCTGCGGGTCACACTGTAGGCTGATTATAGGAGGACGGGCGCAGTGACGACAGCTGGGAGCTGTTGTTGCTCTCGGGTGTCAAAATCCCTTTTTGCTTTAGCTCTCTTGTTATTGTACATTAATCCTCTAGCATACGTACAGTAATTCCTGGCTCATTGTTTGATAGTTTGAATATCTTCTCTTGAAACTGATTCAAAGGCATTTCCAGATTATTGCCAGCACTTAGTCATCCTGTTAAACAAGGCATGAGATCAGATTTCTTTACTGTAAGATATTTAAATGATGTGACCATTTTCATGTACATCTCTTGAAATAATCAAGATCATTCGGGGGACATACAGTTTCATTTTAATCTTTGTGGGCTTTTTGCCATTTCAAGAAATCCTGAAGCATATGATCAAAATTTGACCTTTGACCTAGCCTCTGACTTTCTGTTTCTTCCTTTTCAGTTCTTAGAATGTTTTGGCCATTGTCTTGTTCCAGGCTTCACCTTAAACTCGTTTACCCATGATTTCACAACAGGGACGTGATTATGGTGTAGAATTCTGCTTCTGCAGAGCCTCCCCAACTCCATGCTTTATAGTTTGTATAAAGTTTTTTTTTTTTTGTAATTATTTGCTTTGTTAATGCCGAACATTTTTCCTGTTGCTGTCCAAATAGTCTAGTTAAATTTAATCCCAGAAATCCTGGTCTTAGTTTACATTCTTTGTGGCAAACTTTAGATTTCGCTATAAAAGTTGAGACTGTGTAATCTCTTTGTGATTTATAGACATGCACTTTCACCACAACAGTAGTAAGTGTCTGTAACATTGCAAAAGTGAACTTGCTTGGTTCTGCATATCTCTTGCCAGAGTCATACGCTGCTACAACCTTCTGACGGACTTGGACAGCTCTTAACTTGATTCTGTCTCTCAATTTAACAGTCTGGAGCCATTTAACCAAATTCCAGTTGCTTCATCAGGAAAAAACCCAAAATGCGGATTAATGATTTACTGATCCTGTGCTCCGATTGTACCCTATACTGATCTCTCAAATTGTAATTTTTTAAGATTTTCTTAATTGTGTATTCAAAGCCCACATGCTGTGACTGGGCCCCATTATTATTGTTTTATGCGAAAAGGATTTGTCAATATTTGGGCTACCATTTACCTTCATATTTATTTGTAATCTTATTCTTTTTAATTTGAACAAAAACTTAATTTTCTTTGGTTGAATTATTTATGTAGTATTTACTTGCATAGAAATGATTTTAAACTCTTTTGTAACACTATTTAAACTGTTACCAATTAAACTTGCTTTTTCCCATTAATATGCTTACGTTACAGTAAAATAAACTTTTATGTTTGTTATGCCTATTTTTTCATAACATTATCTAAATAAGGGTGTTGGTTTATTAGTTTTAATTGTTTAATTCTACCATAACATCAATTTTTCAAACTTTTTATGTGACTAAAGGCTATGGATCATTCATGATAGATAATTAGATCTTAAAGTCAACATTTTTGACAGTTAAAATTCAACAACAACAATGTTGTGTCATTGGAGAAGAGTAATCTCATTAAAAAATTAATCTGTCTGTTGTTTTCTATTGCCACTTTTTAGAATTGTGGTCCTATTTCTCCTTTTAACCAGCTTTTCTTGACTAGAGAAGAAAAATACAAATTTGACTTAAATTTATACTTCTTTTCATACTAATTTAGAGAATTTGCTTTAAGAATTTATATTATCTCGAATCAGATTTCTACTCCAGATAAATAGAAAGTCATTAGATTACTGAAAACTTTCATCCATTGAAAGTGTATAAATACCAAAAATGCCTCAGTTAAATTTAATTTATACTGATTTAGGAGTATCAGTAATTCTTTCAAAATGAAAATTAGAATATAAAATGAACTGCTCACCTCTGATATCATGATGAATAAATGTTTGCTCTTTTTCCTTTTTTTTAAGTCAAGGCTGGACAAAAATGTAAATGATGGATGTCTATTTGATGCCTTAAATAGTATTCCAATTATTGGTCTGGATTTGCAAGTGGTCGTATTTCAACAACTAGACTAACTTCTAATATGCATATCCTTGGTCATTTCTTGTCTTGCAGGTACTTTTAGTTTTTGCCAAAGAGGACAGTCAAAGTAATGGCTTCTGCTGGGCGTGTGAGAAGGCCAACTACAGGTGCAGCATGGCGCGGACGCCTGAATCCGCTCTTGAATGCTTCTCAGAGAAGCATCACGACCTTGTCATCATTGACCACAGACATTCCAGACACTTTGACGCTGAAGCACTGTGCCGGTAGGTTCAAAGGCCTCATTGCCTTTCCCTTTTATCTGTAGCTCCCTCCACAGATTCTCTGTCAGATTCAAGTCCAGTTGTTGAAATTAAAAGATTGTAGAACTGCTGCTTTGCTGCAAGAATGTCCTGGGTTTGCTTCCCAACCTGGGTCTTCCTGCATGAAGTTTGCACACTGCAAAAACTTTAAATCTCAATAAGTCATTTTTTTCTTAAAATAAGTGGATTTTTCTTGAATAAAGGAGTTAAGTGAGACACATTGCCAATGGAACAAGACAATTTACATTTAAAATAAGAAAAAACTATTGCATTGTCTTATTTTGAGTGCATATAATCAAATCATCTTATTTTAAGAGTTAAAATACTAGTTCCATTGGCAAATCGTCTTATTTACCTGCTCAAATTAAGGGTAAATACGCTTAATTTAAGACATTTTTACTCATTTTTAGATCATTTTTGCAGTGCATGTTCTCCCTATGAATTTGTAGGTTCTCTCCAGGTACTACTTCCACCTACACTCCAAAAACATGACTGCTAGGTTGATTGGCATCTCTACAGCTTGAGATGGGCGTAAGCCCCCTGTGACAATCACTTTAAAATTGCCAGGTTTTCCAAAAACAGACTACCTGGAGAAGGTATTTTCTTCCACTCTCAAATAAAATAGATTTGCATGTTGAATAAATATTTAAGCCTTAAAAGTTTGATAACTTTTCTTCTCTTTATTTTTTTTCACCCTCTTGAGATAACCTAAGCATCTAACTGTCATGCTAGTTTGGTTATGTTGTGGCTGCATTGATAGTGATTTTTTTTAACTTTATGAAAAAGGACATGAATATTGTAATGGATTCTGGAAATTATTTATTTTTGCTTTATTTTTCATTTTTTTGGACAATCCTTGGTCTAACACAAGCCAGGTGACTTTGATTGGACCATCTGCAGGGCTGTATTTACAATCAATCCACATGATTCTGCTTCTCATTATGTGTTCGGGTATACGGGTGGCTCATTTTGGCCGCCCTCGCTTTCTTTGCCTTCTATCTAGTGGATTTATGTCACTAACAAACACGTGGTGTTGCCGGGCCCATACCAATGTCTATCTTTAGCCTTGACTAAAACCAAACATGCATTTAAAAAACATTCATTTGCCATGCCTGGAGTGTATGTTAACCCTATTCATTTTGGCCGATCCATATGTTCAGTGTATACGTTCGGGCTTCGGTTTGGGGGGGTGGGGGGGGGGGGACTGAAGGGCCTTTATGACCACTGACTGGGGGAAACCACAGGCAGACGAGTGGCCCTGTACACTGCATTCTTTCAGAGGCCTCGGCCCGCTCATAAAGCTCCACCTCTGGGTTCTGCCTGCCTGTGAGAATCGGAGCGTGAAAAACTGAAAATACATTGATTTGATGCCACAGGCTTTTCCACCCACCTGCTCACTGACTAAAAGGCTCTCTCTGTTTACATTCAGGTCAATTAGAGCGGTCAACTCCTCAGAAAACACTGTGATAGTCGCCGTTGTGAAAAGGTACACTTTTGATCTCTTCTTCTCTTGCATTGTCCCTTCTACAGTAGGTAGCTTGGGTAGAGAAATGATCACCTTAGTGTGTAGGCCTGCAGCTTGTCATCTGTAGCAAACCTTCTGACATTCTATAAACAAACATTTATCATGTGCTGCTTTGCTTCTAACATTTCTTTCTTTTCTTTTTTTTTTTTTTCTAAGGCCAGACAGAGAGGAAGCCGCTGTGATGCCGCTGATCAATGCTGGCTTTAATAGGGTAAGCTTAAAGTACACAGTGTGTTTTATGCTGCCTGAAAATGTAGTTTTCCACTGATAAGATTTAGATTTGTAGCTGATGATTTATTTTTTTCCCTGAAAGATGAAAGTCTTCAATTAATTTTCTTTTCTAGGAGAATGTTCTAACTTGCACATGCATGAATCAGCATTACTTATTGAAGGTTTTTATCCACTTCTGACTGACCTGTGCTGCTCTGACCCTTAGAGGTATGTGGAAAATGCCAATATGATGGCCTGCTACAATGAGCTGCTACAGCTGGAGCATGGAGAGGTGCGGGCACAGTTCAAACTGAGGTAAGTCGAGCCTGCAGCTTTTCTACATGGTAGTTAAAACACATGTCAGTGGTGAAGTTCTTGTTTAATTCACAAATTGGTAAATTTCTGTCTATACCTCAATAGCCACACACACCCCTCCTTACATTTCACCTTGAACACACCAAGAAAAAAATGTGTGCAGTTGAAAAGGTGCTCCTTTTATACTCCAGCTAAACATCACACATAATACTACTAAAAGAGTCGCTTATTAGATGTGACCTCAGGAACATACAACTTGTCGTAATCTCACAAAACGATCCAAAATCAGACCTGCAGACTTTACTCTGTTTTACCAAATAAAGAACAGGCATTTTGAATTAAATATAAGCAGGAATAAACTTGTTTGATATTAAGTGTATGGTAAAAGTGCAACAGTTTCACAATATCCTTGCATATATATATATATATATATATATATATATATATATATATATATATATATATATATATATATATACACGGTATATATAAATATATATGCATGCATGTGTGTATTTCAATTTCAAGGGATTTCAATTTACATATATAATTTATGGTATAATTATGTACCTGTTCTCGGTTTCTTATTGCATATTCATTTAAGGAATCTAATTTAAATGTTTGCAGATTAAAAAAAAAAATTTATTTCATTTTTTTTTTTCTTTTGTTCTAATATTTTCAACAAGGAGGGGGTTATTGTTCCTCTCTAAGCTCCATATGATTGTGGAAAATTCCTGTGCTTTGGCCTTCTTTGACAGCATCTTTCATTTACGCTTTAGAGTAACGAATCGGATGCCAGAAACATTATTTTCATTCGTAACTTTTTAACACGTTGTAAAACCTTGATATTGGTTTTTCAAGGTGTTTTCCATGTCTGTTTACCAATGCAGAGTAGACCTGGTCAAAACTGTATAGCCAGCATACAGAATAATATGTAAACAAACCATCAGCAATCATGCAGCAGTCAATGTATATGGGACAAAAGGTGGAACAGCCTGTGTCAGAGAGATACAGTAAGCTTCAACTCTGCACTCTTTGTCCACTATGTCCGTTTTTATCCATAGTTTTTGCCATTGCCTCAAAGAGGTTCCAGGTTTAACTATATTAAGCTACAGCTGTACAACCCAACAAAAGTAAAGAAGCCATTTTTTTTTAACAGTGTCCTGTCTGGCAATGTGGCAATAAGAACAATTGTCTTGATTCCAAAAAGAGCCCAACAGATTTTACTTTCACAAGTGTAGCAGTATGGCAATTGCCATATTGCTCCACTTGTTTCATGCATATAAATTGCTTTATTATAATTATGCAGGGAGTTTTACAGTTTACATGGACACTGCAATGTAAATAGAGGAGAAAAACAGAAGAAGAAAGGGGGGAAAAAAGAAAAAAAAAGAGAAAAGATGAAAGAAAGAAGAGATAGAAAGGAGACAATGAAAAAACTTTTTCAGTCTGCTTCATCACCTGTAAAGAGATGAAAAAAGAACAGCACAACCGAAAGACATGGTACGAGATATACAATAAAGCAACACCTTGAAACTATCACTAAAGTAATATTATAAAGCCATTTTTACATCACACCTAATAAACTTTAACTATCAGGAGATTCAAAACTTCCTTTTTTTATTTTTTATAAATGTATACTTACAAAATCCAATGTGAAAACGGATTTTAAAAAAAAAGAAAAATAAAGAAAGGCAAAATATGCAAATACTAGTTGAGGGTGTTTTTATATTAATGGACAATAAAAAATACAGATAAATAGGCAAACGTATAAAATGTTTAACTGTTTATGTCCTTTTTTTGTGTTTTTGAGCAGCTTTAATGAATGGCTGAGATTCTCAAACATATCCTACCCTGTTGGCTTTTTAGTTCGAACAGCCTCGGTGTTACCAGTTGAACCTCCTGAGCCGGACTAAACCTTTGAATTAATTTACCGTTATCATTTTTGGATGCTATTTTCACTACAGCTACAGGCTGCTAACTCTGTGTCATCATTGCTTTGTGTTTTATGTAAGTAATCACTTGGGCCACTAGAATACTGCTTTATAAATGTTCCTTGAATTAGAGTAAAGAGTAAGCTAACTAGAAAACAGCATCACCACGATAAAAAAAAGCTCTTCCTTGATACAGCAACATTTTTCTCTTCTTTTTTTTCTATATCATGCAGCAAAAAGCCTAAAGAACTATGAATGAAACTCATTTTTCAACCTATCTCCCTAGATAACCAAGCAAATATTGTTGAAAGCATCTTTTTGAAGACTATGTATTTTTTTTAAAATGACATGCAGCTTTGGAACAGTTACTATAATAGAAAGATCAGTAAGAATTTATATTTTAACTCAAGAAGTTTAAATTGAGCCAAAATAATTCCTACCCCTGGGTGGAAATAAGGTTTTGATTTTTACCAACATATTTCTTCTGGCTACAAATAAGATTTTTGTTTGCAGTGGCCAAGCTTAGAGCTCTGACTTGAATCTGATGGAGAATCTAATGGATATGTTGCTGAAGATTAGAGTGATAGCACAGAAACCTTCTGACAGCACAGAAACCTTCTGACATTAAAAGACATCTGCACAAAGGAAAACAAAACTTTTGCCTGTGTGATCCAGCAGTTGAATTTAAAATACATTTATACATAAATCTACTTTGTGTCTTTTTAAAAAATTATCAAATGTTAATGTGTGCTGCTGTTTGGTTTTTTTTTCTGCCTACTAGGGCTAGCAATGCCATATTCACAGCTCTGGAACAAAGCCAAGACGCCATAGAGATCACTTCTGAAGATCAAGTTATTCAGGTGGGAGGTTTTACTTTTCTTTTTATAATTTTTCCCCACCAACCAAGCTTGTCTTTCCTTCTCTCCCTCTGTTCTGCTCTGTTCCTTTTTATAGCTCCTGTTCATGTCTTGTGATCTCAGATCTCTGTCAGCAGTAGTAGTGGATTCTGACATTTAAATGCTCTCAAAACACTGCAGCCTGTGTTTCCACAGAGTTTTAATCGAATGAGCTGAAAATGTTTTTATTCCCTCTGTTAATGAAGCGACATTGGTTTATAATGCCTAAACTCATTACTTTTTTCCCCCTCCCCTGTACAGTATGTGAATCCTGCCTATGAGTCCATCATGGGCTACCAACAAGGCGAGCTTATAGGGAAGGAGATAATAGAAGTGCCTAAAAGTGAGAAGAATAAGCCTGATCTTCTTGAAACGATAAACTCCTGTATACTAAAAGGAAAGGTATGTATACCTCATATCTCTGTGCCCATTACCACAATTCTAGAAAGCTGTCTCTGGTGCACGTTGCTTCACTATCAGATCACTTGTGCAAGCACCTCAGATATCTGCACCATGCGTGCTGCGCCGCTGGTCATCCAGCAGCTCCGTTTCATGTGCAGTAATCTCACTACACAGAGCACGAAGGTCAGTCCCAGACAGCTCAGCAGCAGGAAGGGTCTTTTTAAGCTGCGGGTGGGAGTGGGTGGACATGAAACAAGTGCACTGGACTCCAGTGGTGCTCCCTCTATCCATTAAAGCAAGCTGCCATTCTCTGAAAATACTCTGACCCACACCATCTCACCACCTGTTACACAAACACTGGCACGCTAACGGGACGCTTTTAACTTTTACCTTTCTTTATTTTTAATCATACGTTGCAAAAAAAAATATACCAATGTGTCGTCCTGTTGTGTTGCCTTTCAGGAGTGGCAGGGGATTTATTATGCCAAAAAGAAGAATGGAGACAACATTCAGCAAAATGTGAAAATCACACCTGTAATCGGACAGGGAGGGTGAGTGAGTTGAAGAGTGGATTCCTCCATTCGTCGCACCTTTTTTATTTCATCTGATGTAACGTTGATGCTTTTGTCCTTTGCAGAAAAATCAGACACTATGTGTCTATCAACAGGCCTTTAAATGATAATAATAAGGTGAGATCCGTGGTTCTGGTGAATAGTGAATAGTGAAAGGGGGTTTGTTCTGGCGTGTGTCAATGTGCTTTTCCTGTTTTTCTGTGCAGAGTGAAAAATCCACTGAACGTGTGCAGGCAGAGTCGCAAACAGGTGAGATCGACATTTTTTTTTTTTGTTCCCTACAACAAAATTTTCAAGACCTCCATCTGCTTCCTAAGCTAATTAGTATATCTGTTTCCTGCATATTGTTACTGCCACTGGACATTGAGTGCAGCAATATATTAGAGATAATAGATTGAATAAATAAACTTTAATTATTTATTAGTAATACATTCTTATTTTTTACATCAATGTGTAATTAATTCATATATTTAAAAATGTCATTATTTATGCTGGAATTGTGAATCATGAATTAAGAAAAAAGGAGGAAATTAAAATCTCTGTAAAAGTGCAGATCTATAAAACCACGCCATCATTTCTTTGTTAAATTTGGCCCATTGATTCCCAGGACCATTTGTTTGGTACGTATTCAATTTCAAAATGAAAGATAGTGGGAATAATTGTGAAATCAAATGAAAAGAGAATCATTGGCATGTTGCCTAAAGCAATAGAAATATCAGGCCATGGCGAATTCAACTACAACTTCCTAAGAAATAATCTAAGAAGGGCGTGAATTTTCATTTATTGAACCTTGGAAGATGTTCTTTGGTGCTGTCTAAGCGGGTCATTGTTCCTTGCTGTTTTCTGGTACCAACTGGAAAAAGAAGCTGCAGCTGTGACTGATTTCAGAACGCCGCAGCTAGACGTCTGACAAGCCAACAATAAACAGGGATTGTATCTGTATTTGGTTTGCGTCACTGGCTCTCTTCTGTTTGTTTCTGAAGCTTCACATGATGTTCTTGTGCAGTACATCTCAGTGCGTTCCCTCTGCAGCGCCTTTTCACCTTGTGGCTTCTGATCAGAGGCGGTGAAGGTGGATTAGGCTTTAATTACCTTACTAAAACCTTCTTATCTATTGCTTTCAGCATGGATTACTTTTAGTTCATTGTTTTTGTTTTTTCTTGATTTTTTTCAAATTATTCAAGTTTCCTGCTTATAATTTAGTTGTGTCTGTTTCCATTTAGAGATCCCAAACCACACTTTTTTTTAATCAGTGCTGTGCTATTAATTAATCTTTTATTTCCTTGTAATTCTTTTTATTTTAGACATGCAAATGTATTTTAATTGTTTTATATAAATGGTTTGTAAAAGGGACAGAAGGAAGAGTAGTCGACAAGTCAAGGACAACTAATGGGGATTCAAGTAATAAACAAATGATAATTAAAATCTACAGGATCTCCAGAAAAGGACTGTCTCAATGCTCACAAGAAAGAAAAAAATATTTTTACTGTCTGTAAAAAAACCTGGACAGTAAAACTCCATTGCACCAGAACTGGCTGGTTAAAACAAAATATAACCAAAACACAAAAGTACAAACTCCATTCCATGTATGAAAACATAATATTTTTTTAATGTTATCTTAATTTCACAGGTGCTGAATAGCACTCTCTATATTTATTCTCTCCCACTGTAAATAAGTGTAAACAGCATTAAAATGAATGCAGTTTTTAAGGTGTGACTTTCCTCTGGTCATTTTCTTTATTTCAGTAAATCATCACAGACTTGCTCGCTTGTTTTAATTTCCCTGGGTCATGGAAGTTGTTTAGGCTTTAAAATTTGCCTAAGACTTTAATCGGATTTTCAACAAAGTAAAACGTGTTGAGCAAATGTGTCATTTGCATAATTTTACAGGAATAAATGGTGATTTTATGAATAAAATAAAAATAACATGTGGTTTAATTCTCCCATTAATAGCTGTACCCCCTGTTGAGGATATTTCTATAATTTTAATGCAAAACTATACCTAAAGAGCTTTTTTTAAAGTTCTGTTGCTTAAACCGATTCTTTTCTTAAACAAAGAAGCGTAATTATTATTTTAAAGATGTCACATTTGTTGAATAATGAAAGATAACCACAATAATAAATGCACTTTGTAGTGAGACGTATGTCTATCTATATATATATATATATATATATATATATATATATATATATATATATATATATATATATATATATATATATATACAGAATTTGATAATTTGCCATAAACTAATCCAAGCTTTCAATTTTGAAACTAATATTATAGTTAAAAAGTAAAAATTCTTTCGTTTTTTAATTTTTGCAGCTTTTACCAAACACGACTTAAAATGTGGCAACACAACCAAAAAAACTGCTTAGTCTTGCAAATATATGCAGACTTAATGATATGCAGTCAAAGACATTGATTATATATGTAAATGTGAATAATAAAAAAAGCGTTTTCCCTCCTCCAGATATACAATCCAGTAAGCACAAAGACCGAAGGAAAGGCTCTCTGGATGTCAAATCCATCACGTCTCGAGGGAGCGATGGTGAGAGTGAAGGGACATAGATGATGGAAACACTCTGCTTCTTGTCAGCTTATGAAACCTTCCCCGGTGTTTGTTTGTGTTATGTGTTGTTTGGATACATGCACACATTAATTAGAGCGGGGCTTTAAAATGGCTCCCTAAGATTTCTCTCTTCGATCCTAACAGGGAGCTCGCAGAGAAGACACTCCTCGATGGCCCGAATTCACTCCATGACCATAGAGGCTCCCATCACTAAGGTGGGTTCATACCAGGCCCCTTCCTCCCGCACAGCATCCATCATATGATTATCACTTAGTACCCATGGTTAGACTCTAACCACTAACCACTTGTGCTCTAAAAGTGCTACAAACCTCATGAGCGCTTCTTGTATCGCTACCTAAATTGAGTGTAGAAGTCACACACAAACACAAACACCCACCATTTCAATTGGAGATGGGCTGATAAAACGCCACATTTCATGCACAAGGCGAGGAGAGCATGTCGGACCAGAATGACCCGCTTTTTAGGCGGTTGGTGAAGCGAGGATGGTCGGAAAAAGTGAAAGTCCCTAGGGAGGGGTCATATGACACACTGCTGTACTTCTGCTGTATCATTTGACTGTGCAGTCAGTCCCTGTAGGCATCGTCCTCTGGAGAATAAAGCAGTGATACAACCGCTGCCTGTGTGTGGAGATGTGCGTAAGCAAATTAGTTCAAACTTGTGTTCTTGTACATGCATTGCTGACCTTGCTACTGGTGCTTATTGCTGGAGCCTTCATCACTTTTTAGGTTTGTTTTAAATGCTAAGGAAAGCTTATCATTTTTGCACATAAGAGAACTCTGATTTTAAATAATGCTTCTTTAATTAGTGGAAATTGAACTCTAAGCTTTTTTATGAAAAAAATGCACTGTGCTTTTCTTAAAACTTTATTTTTATAATATTTATTAAGGTACAAGAGTCTGACTAAATTTCACCAATCACGTTAAAAGACCAAACTTAAATCTATTTCTTAAGGAAATTTTGATTGAACAGCAAAAGCTAGAGCATAATTCTGAGGTGGAAGTCTCCACGGCGACACATTGGGTTCTGTGGAGATCTTTTTCCACAGCAAAGTTGGACAAAAACTGATGGGAGGATAGGTGGAGCTGGAAAACGAAAGAGAAAACCGTTTGATTCTGCCCCACTGGTTAGGAGTGACGGCCCTGATGATTCACCGGGATGTCCCAAAATGTTTTGCATAGCTCCATAAAAAGACTGAGACATAAAAAGCTCCATGAAAAGACAACAAATAGCAAAAAAGTTATCGATGAAAGATGGTCTGTTGTGCTTCCTACAGGGTGTTTCTTTTGGCTGTTCAGCTAGTCTTTATGACCTTTTTTTTCTGCCTGTAAGGGCAGAAACATGCCGTTTGTGTCCAAAGGTTTTAAATGACCCATATACTGTATAGTGGTGATGATTAAGTCTGTTATCAGACTTTTTATTTTGCAGTCTTTACTACAGACCATACAGCATATTCAAACCTTTTTATTTTTTCATTTTATTTTAATTTTCCTTGCACTATTACAGTAATAAGTTTTTTTTTTTATTAACTAGGTCATAAACATCATAAACCAAGCACAGGAAAGCAGTCCTATGCCTGTGGCAGAGGCCTTGGATCGAGTACTGGAAATCCTGAGGACTACAGAGCTGTATTCCCCACAGCTGGGCACCAAGGATGAAGATCCCCACACCAACGACCTTGTTGGAGGGTTGATGACGGTAAGTGGTAAATAAATACTGGGGCAAAGTCATCCTCAGTAGGTGGAGAACCCATTTTTTCATTTACTTTGAAGGTCTAAAGATGACTGCAACACTCAAACAACATCTTTTTTGCTATTGTATACAAATTGAATCCATTTGCTTTGCAGCAATGTCTACTCTAACATCTTTGATTGGATTAATAAAACAACACGAGTTCAGAGTGCGTGGATAGTTTTTTTTATTTCCAGAGAGGAAGAGATGAAGAAAGATTAACAGACATTAATGCTGAAGAATAGAAGTAGTGCCAAGTTGGCAGTCTTGGCAACAAATCCAGAGGAAGTGTTAGATTGTCCTTTGTGCTCCTGTAGGCTGGAGAGGAAAGCCCACCCTACCCTTTCTCTCTCTCTATGTCTCTGCACACATACACCCAGTCACACTCGTTTTCCTCTCCACTCCACAAGCTCGGAAACATCCTGTTCTTTGGACCCGATGAAAAAGCCCAACTTTACTTCTACATGAAGAAGGCAGCGAGGTGATGGTTCATCCCTGGAAAGATTCATTCTGTATGAGTGATAAAAACCAGGGAACGCTGGGCAGTTTGTCTGAGCTCAGAAGGTTTTATCGGGACAGGTCTCATCAATGAGGTGAAGATTAAAAAGGGGAGCTATTTCTCTCTCTCTCTCTGTTCTTTTTTTTGGGGGAGAAACGGTCCTAAAATAGGACTGAGGCAACACCACCACGAGACAATGCATGGGTCAAAGATGATCCCGTCTCCTCTTCCTTTTGCACTTGTGAAGTAAACACTTCCCATTGTGACACACACCCATGCACTCACTAACACCCAGTATATAATATAACCTGTGCTGTGCACCATGAGCAAGTGAGAGCCAAACTTTCCTTTGCAGGGTGAAAAACTGACTTGAACGTTATAACAAATCAACCTCATTTATATTGAGTTATATCTATATTTTTCATTTATTTATTTTGTATCTTTTTCACTGAATCAATTTTGGCAGAAGTTGGCAGTAGGGGGGAATCCTAAAACGTGAGGAAAAAAAACAAAAGGACAGATGTATAAAACTGTACGTAGTCTTGCACACCTTTCCCTATACATCCCAGTATGCAGAGAAAATCAAACCCAGCTGGAGGAACTGTTTAGAACGCCCTGTGCCCACCTACAAATTAATCTGTATAGTCGTATAAATAGCCAGAAGGCACCCAACACATGTCAAAATAACCATGGCAACGATGCTGTCAGGCTGACAGCGAGACTTTGTCAACACACCTCAAGGACATTTGTTACAGCCAACTGACTACTTACTGAATGACATCAGCGACTCACTTAAAATTCTTTATATTGTGCTTAAGACTTTCGGCTCCCTTTTTTTTTTTTTTTTTCTCAATGTTTGAAGTCCAAAAGTCGCCATCAATAGCTGCTCAGTTATTGCTTAATGCTAATAATTGTAGTGTTTAAAAAATAATTATTAATATGTGAATATGACCCCCATATTTCTGTTAGGAATGTCGTCGCCACGCTAGTGAAAAAGGACTACAGTAAATTAATAAGATAAATAGATAAAGATACATAGAAGTCAGCTTTTTTGCAGGGAGCCTACTTGAAGTCTGTTTCCATGTTAATTAGAATGGCTATAATTATTGTATTATAGTAGCTGTAAAGCCAACATGCCACTTGTGAGACACTTTTGTGCATCATAAATACGAGCACAGCTCTACAATGAAAATGCTTTCCATTTATAAAAGCAGATGTGACACTTAAAAATCAAACATAATAGCAACATAAGTGCAGTTAAAGCTCTGAGTTCATTTAGAAATCGGCTTCTCGATTTAAAGTATGATTAGATGTCAATTTAAGCAAATTTTCAGGGATTTTTTCTGCACATATGGGGAACACAAAGATGTTACTGTGGTGGAGACATCTTTGGATGACGAATAAATTTTATCAATCAGCGCCCTATATTAAAAAAAATTAAGTTTGTAAAACTGTAGTTTTTAGATTGCAGATTTAAAAACTTTGCATGGTTGCCACAATTTCTTACAACAGGTCAAACTTTTGCATTGGTTGCTGCACACTTTCATGCAGTTTCTTTTTAAACACCCTGAGTTTTGTGTTAAACAGTGTGCCACATGTTTTCTTTGCTTTTATACACAAGAGGCCTGATCAGCTAACAGAAGGTACAAAGAAAGCGCTGACATCTGCAGGTTTAAGAACATGAAATGCAGATTGAGGCATTGATTTATTTTGCGGTCGTCACAAATGGCTTTTTTTGAGGTTTGCCCAAGAACGTACATTTGGGAGACAATTCTGTTTTTTAAGTGCAAACAAATGGAATTCAAATCTTTATAAAGGCCCAAGAAGAAATATAAAAAAAATGTAAACCGTTCTTTTTTATGTTATTTGTTTTGCCTTTTTTACATGTCTCAAAAGGAAGTAGGAAAGTTGCTATCATTGCTGTTAATGTCTTCAAATTCTTAAGAAGCAGGCTGTTGCACAGCTGGTATGAATTAGTACTTAGAGAGCCGGATCTTTTGACTTCTCTCTGGATGGTTGATAATTAGGGCGAGGCTCTGTTTGCCCTCTGATAAGCCCCATTTGCTCAAACGTCATCCACTAATACCCAAAGAAAGACAAAGGGCTAAATCAAATAACTTTCCTATATATTGGTTCACATATGGACATAAAATAATATTGCTGTCATTAGTGACACGCCTGTCACAGCTTGTAATCCTGATAACTGTATCTTTGAAAGGACTCTGGATAAAATCTGTTAAAGCTCTCCTTAATGTCTTAGTCTGTTTTTTGGAGAAACCCTTACAGAATATAGGCTGATGTTTTTACATCTGAGGTAAATTTCTACTGTGAGGTTTACAGAAAGGCTATTTGAAACGTCCCTTCTCATCTCTCATCTGAACAGGACGGTTTACGGAGGTTGTCAGGAAATGAGTACATCCTCGCCACAAAGCGTAAGTTCACACAGAAAGTTAACCACAACCAAAACTTTACTGGCTTGTCTTTCCCTCAGCTCTATTTGTTATGAGTCTAAACATTTTTTTTTTTTTACTTTTCTCCTGTTTTTATTTTGCTCACAGAGCCCCACCATCTGCCGAGTCACCTGGCAACTCCCCTGTCGTTAAACGACATCCCCCCTCGGATTGCTCAGACCATGGAAACCGAAGCATCATGGGATTTTGACATCTTTAACCTGGAGGCTGCAACCATGAAAAGGTGAGGCTTCCCAATCTTGAAGGATTGCAGGCATGTTATCTTTATGGAAAAGAAATTGCATTAACGGCATTGATCTCCCTCTCTAAACCCTCCTGCAGGCCTTTGACCTTTTTAGGTCTGAAGATTTTCTCCCGCTTTGGGGTGTGCGAGTTTTTAAACTGCCCTGAAGCTACTTTGCGCTCCTGGCTGCAAGTCATTGAGGCCAACTACCACTCCAGCAACTCCTACCACAACTCTACCCATGCTGCTGATGTCTTGCATGCAACTGCCTATTTTCTCTGCAAGGAGAGGGTCAAGGTAAAATAAGGGAGGATACTCGTTTTTATTTTCATATTCTTGCAGGGAAATGCAAAATATTTTGTCATCTTTCATTTCTTCATTTCAGCTCTATTTCAATTCTAAAAAATTACTTTATCATAAGTTTTCTTAAGCTATTAAGTCTTTATGGAATTTTTTTCACTGTTTAAATACACTTTGATTGCTTCCTTAGTTCAAATTTATGCACTTTGTTACTGGCACTTCCGTCTTATTTCTGTAAAGGCATCAATGGAAATTAAAAAAACTACTTTAATATAAACATGCTGATATGCAGGGAATTAGGAAGCTAAGTAAATGTTCACACAGTGGTCATGGTCCTTCTGGCCTCAAACCACCGTTTTTTTCCAAACCTATTTGTCCACATGATATACTGTTTAGTTTACGTCTGGCTTCTTCGAAATAAAACACACTGGCCGTGTGTGTTTAGAACCTTTAAGAAAGAGTAAATCACAAAATAAGCATTGGTCATCTTCCAACCCAAACTTCAAACCTTTTTCTCTCTGGTTTAACAGAACAATAAACATTAAGAACAACACATACAGTAGTAGTGTGTTGTTCTTAGTATAAACCGCAGGAACTTGGAGGTTTGTTTAGGGAACATCACTAAAAAAAGCACCTTGGAGACCAAAGAACAGAGAAATTTTAAGCAGGAATAGATTATTAAACACCATTTTCGCAGGGCTCTGTTTAACACTGGTACTTTTCCTCTGGTTATCTGGAGCCGGTGTCGGCAGAGAAGTCCAGATTTCCGTCTTCCTTGAAGCCGCCTCCAACCCCTCTGGGCAAAGGTCAGCTGAGACACAGAGTACCTCCAGTCTTGGGGAAGGCCTCTACCAAAACGCACAAGACATTTCTCCTGATTTAGAAAAACTGGGGCCCCATCCTGTCCTTGGCAAGGTTACTTCTCGCTGGACCAGCCGGGCTGAGCTCGAACAAGTGGCAAAACACCATCTCATATTAGGCCCACCCCCTGCATGGAAACAGTGAGGGAATTGTGCATGCACAGGGCCGATCTTTGGATGCTTAAACTGATTCTGTTCAATCTATTTTTACATCTTCAAACTTACAAAGAAATGACCGTCTCCCTAACAGGCCAGGCAAGAAAAACGGTCATCACTGAGGATGCCAAGCAGCCTATTGCAGCGCTGTAGGGGCAGTAGGGGGACTGAGATCCATTGGTTTGCCACCCCACATGAGCTACTAATGGAAAAGCACCAAGAAGAAGGCTATTTTCTAAAAAAAAAAAAAAAGGCATAATATTCCCTTTTAAAGTTTGCAGCAAGCTACACAGTGGACACAACAAATTGGACGAAGGTGTTCTTCACAAATGGGAGCTAAAGTGAACCTTTTAACCGTCATGTGGTGCAATACTAACTCTGCTCATCGCACTCATCGCACTCATCGCACTCAACACAGTATCCCTGATGTCGCACATGGCAGTGGGAGCATCATGGTATAGGGAGGCTTTCTTCATCAGGGACAGGAAATGTATCCCTGCTAAAGGGAAGCTGTTCCAGACAGATATTTACAACTCTAAATGTGAAAAGATGGGAAAAAAAGAAAAAATCTTTCTTGTGAAAAATCCTAGACTGACATTTGAGCTTGTAATGTAAATTAAAGGGCAATAAAGGTGTATGTTGTCATTGTTAAAATTTAGTGTAGTTTATACCTAAATGCTACCAATTATTAGCATTGTCTTTTGTCAAAACAGTAGACAAATAGCCTTTTGTGTCAATAGTCCATCTAATTCAACTTGATCCTAGAAAGTCAGCGTTTTGCCCAAGTGTGTCAGTGGTTCAGTAATGTGTTGACGGTTTGGACCTGCTAAGCCGATTACCACAGCGTCTATTTCTGATCTCGGCCCAGTGATCTTTTAGGGCTTTAGCCAGTGAACTGTAAAGTTACATCACACAAGGTTAATGAGTCCCAGGATTTCTATAGGTCAACATTTTATGTAAAAGGTCACTTTATTTTTACAGATAGCCTGTTTTAAGAAGTTAAATACAGTTTGGTTGTTGTTTCTTTTTACTTTGCGTTCAAAAGGACCCAAAGGACACATTAAATGAATAAAACGAATTCTTTGTTTTAGAGTAATACCATCCAAGGCTTTTGTTTATCTACTTAGTCAGATCTGCCACCTTTAGTTACAAAGATAATGAAGTTTTCTTTATGCTTGTTCTTAAATACTTTTTTGTTGTTTTGTTTATCATGACAGCAAAGTTTGGATCCCATTGACGAAGTAGCTGCTCTGATTGCTGCCACTGTGCACGATGTGGACCATCCGGGCCGGACAAACAGTTTCCTGTGCAATGCAGGAAGTGAGCTGGCCATCCTCTACAATGACACAGCTGTGCTAGAGAGCCACCATGCTGCCCTGGCCTTCCAGCTCACAACGAGAGATGATAAGTGCAACATTTTCAAGCACATGGAAAGGTAAGGAGATCTTATTAGATTAGACATTACAGCTTGTCACAATAAAATATGAACAGATTTACTATACTAATTTTAATCTATAAAGTTGATTGAGTTGATCTATAGTATATACCTTTTCAGGAAAATATAAGGATGTACGACCTAATAACACCAAACCTTTAAAGAGTCATTTTATAGGCATTTTGTTTTTTTCAAATAAAGCTCTAAATAAGGTATGTTTTTCTCTGGTGTGTACACAGCAAGGCCTCTATTGCATATACACCTGCTGCACTGTTTTAACAATATTAAAACAAAATTTTGAAATGTTTAAATGTTTCTTACCTATACAGGAGGTAAGAGTAAATTGGAAGTACTTGGAACTCTTAGGCACATCTCACTGTAAAGACGCATAATGCTATAAAATATAGATTACCCTGAATTTCAACACAAAAAGGAAAGTTTTGTACATTAAGTTTTTTTTTATTTATATAGTACAATTTTCATTTGCATTTCCCATAATTTCTTTAAAAGGCATACAAATGAAACTTTCAATTAAAATCGCAGTTGTTTACTTCTGTTTACGATTGATCAGATTGTTGAATTAACTTCTTGTTTCCCTGGGCTGTAAATATAACCTGGCACAGAGGTCAGTGTCTCTGGATCACTCTTCAAAATGGGAAAGAAAGGAGGACATCCAAGCATGTATTACAGTTGTTTGGTAATCTAAATTTGTTAGTAGATGCAAGAAGAAAATCTGCTTGCTTAAACTTTATAATTTATTTCAAAGAGGCACCTGTGGAAGCGTCTTGCATTCAACTAGACAATAAAAAAAAGTAATTAGTCAGTTTTTCTGAATTAACTAGATAATTTTTACAAAATTAAATAAAAACTCTCTATTTTTCTTATTTAACAACATAACTTAAAAAGAAATAAAATGCTCAGTAAAATGCTCTGTTTTACTGAATTCACAAAATTATGCTGTTGTGATTTCATAATGGATGTTCTGTTACTGCTCTAAGCAACAGACATCTTTCCTTGAGAGAAGCTTCAACATGTTCCACTAAGTTTAATCAATTGTGACTTTCTTTTAGGATTTAGACACAGAAAATTTTTCTTGTCTCTTAATTATGTAGATGAGATCATTGTTAGTTTGTGGACTTTGCAAAGACACCTGCGCGTTGGGTGCTGCTCATTGCACGGTTGTTTCCCTCCCTTCTTTTTTTTCATCTTTTAAAAACAGGGAAGCAGTTGCTTTACTTGCTGTTTTGTTCAGATGCTCATGTCTATAGCTAGGGCAAGAATTAAAACAAAAAAGTTCAACAGAACTGGAAATGTGAATTAGGAATCTGGATGCATCTAAATCTTTTCTGCCTTCATATACAATAAGGAGAATGGGAAATCTCCAAAACTGCAACACACATTTTTCCTGTGACATTATTTTGTTGATGTTGAGATGAATTTTATACATCTTAACAATTCAATTGAGTTTATTTATATAGCGCCAATTCACAACACATGTCATCTCAAGACATTTTACAGTTCAACCAGATCATACAGTCAGATTGATTCAAAGTTTTCTATCTAAGGAAAATCAGTTGATTGCACCGACTCATTGACTCAAATACAATCCCTCACACTAAGCATGCTTGTAGCGACAGGGGAGAGGAAAAACTCCCTTTTAACAGGAAGAAACCTCCAGCAGAACCAGGCTCAGTGTGAGCGGGTCCATCTGCAGAGAAACAAGACTACACTGAAAAACAGGCTGATCTCCAACATCTATAAACAAAGGTGTTGATGGCAGCACAGAGCTGATATTTCTCTCCAGGATGGTGTCACAGACAAAAAGAAACAGATGAGGTGAAGCTACTATGAGAAAAAGCAGAGAGAGCATAATGTTGGAGATTGAACAGGTTCTGCAGAGTGGGAGAATAGAGATAGAATGAAGCAGAATGATGAAATAGGGGTCCCAATGTCCTCCAGCAATCTAAGCCTATAGCAGCATAACTATAGAGATAGCTCAGGATAACCTGAGCCTCTCTAACTATAAGCTTTATCAAAAAGGAAAGTTTTAAGCCTACCCTTAAAAGTAGACAGGGTGTCTGCCACACAGAATAAAACTGGTAGTTGGTTCCACAGGAGAGGAGCCTAATAACTAAAAGATCTGCCTCCCATTCTACTTTTAGTAATTCTAGGAATCACTAGTACAGTAAACCTGCAGATTGAGAGCGAAGTGCTCTGTTAGGAACATAAGGACCAATCATATCTCTGATATAAGATGGAGCTTGGCCATTTAAGGCTTTATATGTGAGAAGGAGGATTTTAAATTCTATTCTGGATTTAACAGGAAGCCAATGAATAGAAGCCAGGATAGGAGAGATATGATCTCTCTTTTTAATTTTCATCAGAACTCTGGCTGCAGCATTTTAACCAGAGGTGTCAATAAATATGAAGGGTGGTATATGCTGGTCAAACCTAAACTGGATTATTTAATCCTGTTATGTACTGCTATTTGCTATGTGAGAATAGCAAAAACTGAAAAATTTAGTCCATAGACTCTACATAATGAAGCAAGCATTTCACAGCTGGATTTTTCTCTTAACTGAAAGACTTTTTCATTGTAACTTTAAGAAAACTGTAGGATTATCGATCATGCAGTTGAAAATCTAAATGCTTAAAAGGTCCAGACAGAACTGAATAACTCTCTACTGAACAAATATTCATGAAAATGATCTCTGAAACCTCAACTCACTTTGTGAAAACACAAAAAGCTATTTAATTGACCTATGGAGCATTGGGACTCTCTTAGACGGAAGCATGCTGGAAAAGGGTAGTCAAACCCACACCCAATTATTCTAAAGATTCTTCAAAATCTTCAGTATGTAGTTAACACCTTGTCTCATTCAAACCTGCTATCATACAATTTTCTTGTCTCCTTTTTTTACATCACTTGAGCAGGATGTACCATTTGTCTAAAAGGTCCTGAATATCTGCAGCTGTTATCTCACTAAACAGTTTATTTTTGCTGATATATATGCATCAATATGACAAGACCTCTTTTTTTTACTATTTAAAGATTAGCCTCTGGACTCCTCTGTTTAAAACTGGTTTTATTCTGCTATTCTGTCTTCTTTTTTTATGCATAGTTTATTTTAATACACAAGCATCTCGTTATCCAAGCTGAAGTCAGTCTCTCTTTACATCATCATGTAACAGGGGCATACAGTATTTTCATAATGCATGCACTGTTTTCGCATTTGTTCAAACATTTAACATGTTGCTTTAAACTTAAGAATTGTTAAGCTGCTAGACATTTTCTTTTTTTGTTGTTTTTTTATTCCATAATTTATGACACATTACAATAACAAAAGACAGAATTTCCCTGTTTTATGTAATCAGCTCCTTTTTAAATAAACTTAAAGCCACAGAAAACGGTACCTTTAACACATATATCACCAAGTGAAACGTATATATGTGATTTTTACCATTTTAACATAATTACTAAACTAAACTAATGAGATTTTTTTTATTTTTGAGGCACCTATTGATGTAAGTTGAAGAAAATTATGATTCTTTTATTTATTTTGTTACTTTCTCTATTAGGAAATATAAAAAAAAAAGCACATTACTGTAACTTAACTGCTACATAATAGTAACATCTGAAGATAATATAGCTAAACTGATTGCTACCCTAAAACAAGTTCAGCCTTGTAACATAATTGTATAATTGTCTATTTAAAAATGTTATTATAAGGCAGCTCCTTTGCTTAGGCCCCTATGTTTTGCTCAGGGTTAAATAAATATATCTAAGTTCAGAAGTTTTGGGCATTATTTTGCATTCCTAATTTATTTAAACGATTCTTCGATGTGCATTCGTTATTATTCATTTTTGAAAGAGACTTGCATTAACTAATGCAACAGGCAGTAAAGTATGTTTGAGTTCATGCTAATGAAAGATCAGAGTGTGTTTGTGTACATGTTTGTGTGTTTGCACTGGTGGGACAGTAATGCGATTTGAGCCCCAAAACAGAATAGCTCACATGAGCTGGTCCCCTCTAAGGGGCGGGGGGCGAACAAAGCAGCCATTCATGGCTGCTGTCACTGCCGTCAGTACAAAACTGTTTACCCAGGTTTCCATGCTACTTAGCATGCTATCATTCTCACTCTTTTCCTCCTCATCTTCTCCTCTTTTTTTTTCTTCTCTCCAGGAATGAGTATCGAACATTAAGACAGGCCATCATAGATATGGTCCTCGCTACGGAGATGACCAAACACTTTGAACACGTCAATAAGTTTGTGAACAGCATCAACAAGCCGCTGGCTGCTCTGGAAGAGAATGGGGTAAAATGAAAAGTGTTAAAGTGAAAAATGTATTATTTTATTATTGTGAAAATAAAGATCATATAGTTTATTGCTTATATAGAGATAACATTTATTTTTTCCCTTCCAAGTAATTGGCATAATATGCTTAATTCACACACACACACACACACACACACACACACACACACACACACACACACACACAGCTAGAGATTCATATATCAACAGTGGGGATTTAACAAAAGTTAAAGATTTTTAAAAATAAGTGGAAAATCTTAAGGGAATGTATGACCTGTTGAGTAAAGAAATATTAGAGCGAGGAGAATTTGATAACCTGGTTCTATCTTTACCAGTTTGGTGTGGAATAGTCGACCTGGAAACAAATGTTTCTCTGGCCTTTAAAAGGCAGAGTTTGCAACAATAAAGAAATATCAACACCCTGTATTTAAGTCCGATGCATTGAAATAGAGAGCGCCTAACCAAACAGACGAAACAAAAAGGTTAAAGTTGGTTTATCTAAGATATTTTGAGCTGTAATTAACTGCAGTTATGTTTATACTAATACCCTGGATTTGTTTTGTTTAGGGAAACAGCGATGAAGAATCTGTCAAGAGCGTCCTGACGTCCCCTGAGAACCGCATCCTCGTCAAGCGGATGCTGATCAAGTGCGCAGACATCTCTAATCCATGCAGGCCTTTGGAGCTCTGTATAGAATGGGCTGGGCGCATCTCAGAGGAGTATTTTGCACAGGTAACCATTTCCCTACTGATTATAACCATAAACATGTAAAAAAAAAAAAGCTGTTTTACTGTTGGGCATGATGGTCACTTGTGTTCTTGTGTTTACTGCAGACAGATGAGGAAAAGAGACAAGGTCTACCAGTGGTCATGCCTGTGTTTGACAGAAACACATGTAGCATCCCAAAGTCCCAGATTTCCTTTATAGACTACTTCATCACAGACATGTTTGATGCATGGGATGGTGAGGCAACACTGCATCACATAGAAACAATTTATAAAGGCTTTTTTCTTTTGGCATAAACAATATAATAAGCAGCATTTAGAAAGAAATTTCGGGCATAACTGTATATTTAAAAAAAAAAAAACTTAATCTAAAAATAAAACTGACGATATCTGAGTTAAATGATTCATTAACTACAGATGCGTCACTCAAATGTTTCTGGCTGAAACTAGTCTCTAATTTGCATTAAAGGGATATTGTGTAATAATTACTACCATCTGGCGTTGAAATGGTAGTATTTCATTCAAACAAAAACTTTACAATAACGCGTCACTACCTCAAACACGTTTTTGTGGCAACAGTAGCCGCTGTGTGTCAAAAAGCCTCGCCAAAACAGATGTAACCATGTCAAATAAATAAATAAAACATTAAAGGAAAATTCAACAACACAGAGACATTCTCCAAAATGATCTTCACCGCTGTTTATTAATCCCCAGCGTTTCAAGATGGCATACTGTTCTGGCGCTTTTAAAACAGGTGACCAGACTTATTGATAATCGAATATAACATTCTTGGCTTATGACAATGTATCTGATTATTAGTGGAGGTAATAATACACCAGTAATAACACACATGTAAAAGTGGTAAAAAAGAGAAAATAGAATAGAATGGACAATTCCATTAATTGTCCCAAATGGGGAAATTCTAGTGTTACAACGGCAAAAGATTATAGCAAAGTGGTCACACAAGTGTGCATAAATACTGTGCATCTGGAGAATAAATAATCAATATACAGATGTTACACAACTTGTTACACAATATCCCTTTAAGGTTGTACCTGCTGATCACTTCATCACCAACTCCTATAGATGAAAACATTTCTTTGATGTGGATAGTGGGCTGTTACTAGACAAAAAAAGGAACTACCAGTATATCCTGTATGTGATTTCTACCTAACTTTAAAACTTTCATCAATGTATTCACTTGTGTAACTCTTTTGATGCCCTTTGCAAGTAAGATCTTTATCTCAACAATGTTTGAATCTGATTAAATCAACTTAATTTGAGTACTGCTGTTGATTAAAGACCAACAATTTATGGAGGAACCCAACATCTGTCAGCATTCGACCTGCCAGTCACCAGTCTGAGGCATAAAGGGAAAATTGCAGATTCTAAATTTACTCAGATAAATGCATCTCTAATAATATTTGTGCCTTTAGGACAAAGTTATGTCATGACTACGCATGTCATCGCTAAGCTATTTATGAAACAGAATTAATAAACAGATGTGTAACTATATTTGGTGTCACTGTGACAAATCTGGTTTTGTGCCTTCATACGTATGACAGTTATATAGCCATATGGCTACCCATATCATTGCCTTTATTTCCCCCTAATTTTCTTGTCCTGGAGAGATATTTAAGCAAAGTTCCCAAACCGAATCTTAGGAGTTCCTTTTCACAATTAATTTAGGTCAATCAGATGTCTCTTGGTTTGAAAAGCATTGTCTTGGTTTGATACTGCTGTAATAATACAAACACTTTTCGTACAGAAACCTGGCATGCTTTGCTTTCTTAACAACCACTCATTACTTCTATAAATGATCTTATGTAGATATTGTACAGTTAACAGTCTTTCTGATGATGGTTGGTGCTTAGTGATTGCTGGGTTGATGCTGGTTGTGTTTATTCACAACTTGCCGTATATTGCCTCTCAAATTACTTTTTCTTTCCCCACCAGCTTTTGCGGACCTCCCTAATCTTATGCAGCACTTGGACAACAACTTCAAGTACTGGAAAGGCCTTGATGAGCGGAAGCTGCACAGCCTGCGACCGCCTCCAGAGTAGCTGCTGCATCATTGGGACCCTTGCACGCACCTGAAACCAGGGCAGAACCTTCTTTCCGCCTGCTAGGGCGTCTCTCTACCTGTCGGCCCAGGCCACACAGGACGTCCTCGCCTCCACTCTCTTGCTTCTGTAGCACGCAGAGGGCCGACATGTCCGTCCACAACAGAAACCCACAGAGAGACTTCCTGACACTGCTGAATTGCTGGTGGATATACAAGCCTGTGTGATTGGAACTGTGACCGTCGAACAAGGACATCCAGCATATGTACTTCTACACTCGCAGTGTAGCTGTTGGCATGACTGAAAGAGGGGCGAGGGTCCTCACAGGTCCTGTGGCAATGCATTCATCCTTTGATTATCACGGAGGCACTCCCGGGTGCCTGCGAAGTTGCTGTTAGGACTTCAAAACTGTGTCTACACCACGTAAAGCCGTGTAATCACTTTAGGCGTCTAGCTTCTGCACTCGCAGCGAGGCAGGGACGCTCCTAGAAACTTTTGGAGGCCACGTTCATGAAAGTACACTCCACCGCTTATCTTTTGTTTGTTTGTTTTCAGGCAATATTTCCACGTGTTCTACAGAAACACAAAGTTGACACAAAGCTGTAATAACAGCAATGAGAGCAGATTCTTCCTTCATCTGGGTTGGACCTTAGTCCCAGGCCACTGCTCTTAGAAAAAAAAAGAAACTCTATATCTTGGTCATAGATATCTAATTAAAGGTTATTTGGTATGCTAGGTTTTTTTTTTTCTTAAAGGTTTCATATTTCCTATATTAAAATCCACCAACAAATTAGTACAAAGGTAAGAACAGAATAATGAAATAAAGCCAAAGCTATTAAAGTCTAGCACTACTATAACACTCAGAAAGAAATTTATAACTATTAGTCATGCAACCTTATTAAGCATTTTTATTTTCTTATCAAGATTACAGTACCAGTTTGAATAGACGAATGAACCCTTTTGTATTGCACTGTATACAATATTCAAAGTGTCTACGTCTCACTGATTTGTCCAGGAACGGGATGTTGCATTGGAGAATAAGCTGTCTTTCTGTTGATCATCAGGAGATCGCCTGCTTGTGTGAACGCGTGTGGGAGTGTGTTTTTTTTTTTTTTTTTTTTCTTTTTGGTCGTTGGTGTGTGACTGCACAGGTGTGTTCATTATTGCAGCAATCCCATACTCTTGGTTTGATGCTGTAAAACACGCTTGACATTTTGACAACAGTAGAAATATGTGAAGAAAAAAAAAGTTTTGGACTTGAATAATTTTTCCTTTTATTTTTTTTTTTTTTTTTGGTCCTCCCAGATTTTTTTTGTATCTGGTTTATCCTACTGAAAAAAAAAAGACTGCCTTATTTTGTACAATATTTATACAGTACACCCCACTGTGCAACTGCAACGGACATCTGGAGTTTTTTCTTATAACACAGTCAGAAGGTTACCTTCAAGTAAATCTCAATATTTTTATAGACGATGAATTTTACACTGGATTTGAAGCAGATGAGATCAACCATAATAGCTATCTGAACACCTGTGAAGGAGAAAGCCACACAGAAGGTGCATATGGAGCTGAAAGGTAAAGCAGGATGAGGATCGCAGCATTGTCTATCACTGTCTTTAAAGCAGTCTCCTGGAGGCCTGCTTGCATTGATTTCCTTTTTTTTATTATTATGATCAAACATCACTCTATTTTTGGCCAATCATCCAACATCCTTATGCACAGACCCGGGTAACATATTTTTTGTTAAAGGTTGGATTCATATTAGGATACTAAAACATGGATGCTTCATAAAAAGATTTTCTCTTTAAACAGTATATAAATGCCATAACAGCTAAGCAAGTACTGGTTAATGAGATGCATTAACCACCATTTAATTTTGTTTCTCTCTTATGACAGAATTGTACACTTAATCAGGGGATTTGTTTGTTCCTTCTGATTCACATTTTGGTCTGAAGGCACGGGGGAAAATAGAAACTATTCAATGAAAAATAAAAATAATGTCAACTACATCCTTGCTGTGTTTTTCCTGCAACAATTTTGTCTCTGTCCTCAACCCCCCTCTACCAGTTTGGGTTAAAAGGTTTTCTTTTTGTGTGATTTGTCACCTTGCCCAGTCATGTTTTATTGTATTTATTATGATTTTATGCCAGGCCAACACAAAGCAGCACGTGGTTATGGAATGGAAGAAAGAAAAAGATGCTCTGTTTTCTAATTATCTGCTTAACACTGTTCCATCCATGTGTACTTACCAACCCTTACTTTATACTTATTTAACTACCTTTCACTGCAGTTATACAGAACTCCTGATGGGGTACATTTTGGCTCTTTCTTATTGGTAAAATATATAGATTCCGTTAGGGAAAAAAATAACACGTTAAAGGAGTTATCCAATTCATACTGTTGATCTGTGCAGCTCCTCCAGAGTCACTGTTGTCCCCTTTGCTGCTACTCCGATTATGGGGTGATATCTCTCTGTTTGCATTTACTTTCTTATCATTTTGGTATGTTTACAGTAGTAGCACACTTTCCATTTTTAGATGCTGGACTGAATAGTATTCTTTGAGATGATTAAAGGGTGGAATATTGTTTTATAATCTTACCTTGCTTTAAACTTCTTCATAACTTCTATTTGTTGACTGATTTTTCTCCAATTAGCCCCAATGTTGGGTTCGCTCTAAAGGTAATTACCAACAAGAAGTGGTTTCCAGGTTAAAGCATCATGACATCTTTCATTTTTGTGTCAATATAAAACATAATTATGTCATACTTTAGGTTAGATTTAACTGAGATGTGTGATATGGGAAGTGACATGCAGCAAAGGACCACAGGTCGGATTCAAACCCGGGTCAGCCACATCGAGGACCAAGGTCTCTACATGGGTTGTGTGCACTATCCACTGCCCCAACTGCTTGCCCTAACTGAGATGTTAAATATATTCCCATATTATGCAAAATTCACATTATGTTTGTATGGAGTAAGTATGAATAATTTTGCAATGCCGTAAATGAACCGGATATCTGCATTCATTTCTTCTAAAAAAGAAAAAAACCTGACAATTATAAAGTGATTGTATAAAGCTTAATGTAGTTTTCTTATTCAAGAGCGAAAGCTACATCTCCTGCGGAGATTTAAGAAACCAAATGACCAAAATTAAATCCATTCATCCACCTTCTTCTGTTTACCGGGTCACGGGGGTAGCAGTTTCAGTAGGGAGGCCCAGACGTCCCTCTCCCCAGCCACTTGGGCCAGCTCCTTCGGGGGAATCCCAAGGCGCTTCCAGGACAGCCGAGAAACATAGTCCCTCCAGCGTGTCCTGGGTCTCCCCCTGGGCCTCCTCCCAGTGGGACGTGCCTGGAACATCTCACCAGAGAGACGTCCAGGAGGCATCCTAATCAGATGCGCAAGCCACCTCAACTGGCTCCTCTCGATGTGGAGGAGCAGAGGCTCTATTCTGAGTCCTCCCTGGATGACTGAGCTCCTCACCCTATCTCTAAGGGAGAGCCCAGACACACTACGGAGAAAACTCATTTCAGCCGCTTGTATCCGGGATCTCGTTCTTTCGGTCATGACCCAAAGCTCATGACCATCCTCCCTAACCTAGGGTTGGGGAGGATGTACTGCCTCTAGTGGAGGACTTTAAATAATAAAAACAGTTGTCTTAATTTTTAAATTAGGTTAGGTAACAAAGACCAAACAATTATATCCCCCCTGGAAATGAAATTTATTTTTTGTTGGATTTTTTTTTTTTTTTAATTGGAAATCTTTAGAGGGACCATGCTTGGAGAGGACAGCCATCTTTCTTAACCATATGGGGTTGAGGAAACATGGGAGAGAGGACACCAATTCCAACAGATGGGACTGTGCTTGCTGTGGTTTACAGCACCATTGGTTTTTGCTGTCTTTTGCATTAGTAGCATGCAACTCCCTAGATTATTTTCTTAGTTTTTTTTTTTTAAGATTAAAAAACAAGCTATTGTATTTACATTTATATACATATGTCAAACTCGAGGTATCTGGGAGTCTTATTATCCTTAATTAATCAGCTGAAAATGATAAATTTAGTTACCCCACATACTTAATTTTCTCATCTAAAAAAGAGAGGCCTTTCTCTCGAAAATGCAGGAAAGCTAAAACTGGATTTTTTTATGAAATGTAGATATTTTTTTTTTTTATTACGGCGCATTTTAACATGTGTAATAGACGATTAAATAAGTGATTGATTCAAACATGAAATGAAATTAATGAACAATAGTCTACACTTGGTAAAAGCTGTGCGAAAAAGGATGTTCTCATTGATATAACACATTAAGATGTAGGTCTTCTATTCATTTATTTTTAGATTTGGACTATGGGACTATTTTTATTTGAAAAGACTCATACGGTGTAAACTCGCATAACCTGAGCAACAGCGGTACGGGATTTATATGTAAACCCTTTAAAGTTATATATTTTTCATACATTTTGCGCAGATTGTTCCAGAGACTTTACGTTACGTAACATGGCAACAGCCCAACTTCCGTCAGATCATCTTTGCGACAAAGTCGTCAGAGGAAACAGTCAGCGATATCGGACTGATGGCTGCAGTCGTTCGACATAAACTATATTAGAGACAGTTAAAAACTCTTACATTTTCTGGGGTCGTGCTATGTCTTCGGGAATGACAGGACAAACGCCGTGAGTATAACATTTATTTTAATTAAATATGCTAACATAAGCAACAGGCTAAGACCGCGTAGGCCGTGTTTAAAATATGTACTGCTATGCTAACTGTTAGCGTTAGCATAGCAACTTGGCCTAGTCGTAGCGGATAAATGAATGCATGTTAGTGTTATTTGTAAGTTTCAAATTTTACTTTTAGGCTATTTTACATATGATTTACATTCTTGGTTTTGTAAATGCTTATAAATACACACGTTGGTGATGTAAACCTACACAGCTAGAAAGGTAAATTTAGATTAGCTAACTCCGCACTAGCTTCACTGTCTGCGGATCGCTAACTAGTTTGTTTGTTCTAATAGTGGATAAAATTATTACTATTGCTCAGAGACACGCGTTTCATCAAATATTAAAGGCTGTTTGACTTGGTTTTAGTTGTAAAATCGAACTATATTTGAGAGGGAAGAAAGGTGTGGAGGGAAAAAAAGATTAATTGACCTGGTATTTCATCATCATAACGCAGCTTTCCTATTAACTTTGACATGAGTATCTAGGTGTCTTCACTTCTTCTCACTTATCTGTCATTGTTTTTTTGCTTTCTTAGCTGCCTAACCAGTCGCTGGGACCAGCCAGCTCAACCTAAAAAGAGTGTTGATGCACAGCAACAGGAAAGTTTTGGAAATGCAACTCTCCCTGTCTCCTTGCAAGGAGTTGTCGGCTCCGCTGGTTCAAACAGTCCAGCTTCTCAGCCACCTGAAGCCGAGGAAACGCCTAAGGGGGGAGTTGAAAAAGCAGCAGCAATGGCTGCAAAAATAAATGCCATGTTGATGGCGAAAGGGAAACTTTTAACTCCTCCGCCATTACTTCCTAAGGTGCATAGTTTTAGCAAACCTGTAAATGAGTCTTTGTCTATTTTTTGCAATGCTAATAGTGACACTTTTTATTCAGAAACCTCCAAGTATCCCGGTACCACCCCCTACAGAAGAAATGGTGGTCACTGAAGTGGATATAAATGACGTACCGCTAAATTGCAGAGAACTGCTTACTAAAGGCAAAACACAGGAAGAGGTAAATGTGGAAAAATGTCCCTTAGTTAATTATATAAAAGTCACTGTCATGTCTTTTATTTTTAATTCCTCATCCTGTCTTTCAGATCAGATTGTTTAGCGGAGCGGTTGTCTCAACTAAAGGTCTTTACATGCCTGAAGTCATAACTACAGGAGGGTATGTTCCAAATCGAGTTTTATATTATATTTTCCATTACTTCTTTTTCAGAATTTGGTGCCTAATTTGTCTGAGTCTATGACAAGAAAAACACTTTTGGGATCCCAACATTATAAGACTTGATCAACAAATTTTTCTCTTGTGATTTTGACTGGCTTTAGCACATCAGAGAAATGACAAATAACTTGTTTATAGTAGCAAGTTCTCACATTCACTCTTTAAAACATAAAAAATAATAGTAATAATAATAAACACATAACAGTACCAGTGACAGATTTGAACTAACATGACCTGGGATGTAAAGCAGTTCAGATTTAAAATTTTAAAATTTTTAACTTTAACCCTTATAAAAATACAGTATATTTAAAATTATATGACATGTAAGCTATACTTTAAATGTATGAGTTTGATTTACATTGTTATCATGATTTATTACATACAAATCTCACTCAGTTACTCTAAAGCTATCATAACATTGTCCAGTAGGGTGTTAAAAATAAATGGTAGAATTGTTTTTTTTTTTTCTTAACGATTTCAGTGAGAAAAGTCAGTATTACCTTTTATGGGGAAAAGGGTTTCCCCTGACATTATGATTTGTTTTCTTTCAGACAAAGACCTTTGTATTTACATGTTCAGGGAAAGACGCAAGAACAGGTCAATAGTAAGTAGAACCTTTTGACTTTATACACGCAAGCAACATCTTGCATAGTTTTCAATGATTTTTTTTTTTTTTTTTTTTACAAACTTTTTCTTAAGCTATTGCACATTCCTCACGTTTCTCTTTTTCCTTTGGGATTTTAGAAGCTGTAATGAGGATAAAGGAGATAATTTCTGAAGATGCGATAAGGGCCTCGGCAGCATCAGGAGGACAGCAGGCTCCTGTAATTCCGCCACTAACACTTTACCCTCAGCCTCCTCGGCCTGTCGTCCCAACTCCTGTGCCACGTGTGCCCAACGCAAACTCTGTGCCTGGCCAAGGACATAGACCAGCAGCTCCTCACATAGGGGTAGGCAAACATCTTATTTCTGTTTTAGTCCAAGCAACAAAGCTTCTTGTTGTTTAGATGCCTAGTGTTATCAAGTTCTTTTTATGTAAGTATTGCGCAGACCTCTGTATAAGCAGGGCCTTTTCTCACTTGGTGAAAAAATGACTTTTCCTCTTTCACTTCTCGCACAATTGTGATATATTTTTTGAGATATTTATATCATGTGCAAAGCTAAAAAAACACACAACTGGTAATCTAACAATTTAAAAGCATTTTTTCTCTTGTCGTATATAGATATATTTAACTGTTTGGTATTTGTTAGAATTTTTTTCTGTCCTGAAGCACACTTTAATGGAGGTGATTTTAAGTGAGGTAAATTAAGGTAGTTGCCTTCACTGATTACCACCTCCAAGATTAACTGGCAGAGAGAACATCCTTGGTTTGCAGTGGAATGCCTCGGGTCGCTGCATCTGCTCACAAATATTTTCTATCTGTGAAATATTTGCCGATTTAACTGGAATGATTTGTTGACATTCTTCTCATTTTTATTATTATTATTTTTTTTTTTATCTGTCAGAGTTTTGTGCATACCAAAATTTTTGTTGGCCTGGACCAAGCGTTGCCCTCATTCAATGTGAAGGAAAAGGTCGAAGGTCCCGCTGGATCGTATCTGAGTCACATCCAGACTGAGACAGGGGCTCGAGTCTTCCTCCGGGGAAAAGGGTCTGGTTACATCGAACAGGCATCAAAAAGAGAGTCTTTTGAGCCTCTTTATGTCTACATTAGGTATGTTCACTTTTGAAGGGTTCCATAAACCTTTTTAGTAGTGTTGCACCGATACCAGTATCGGACGGGACCCCAAGCTAGCACTAAAATGGTGGTATCGGTATCGGCGAGTACCAACAAATAGGGCACCGATACCATTTTGAGAGCTAAAAGTATATTCAACTATTGTCACCCATTCCAGGTAGGCTATAAAAAGTTCTACTAGATTCACCTTGTATTAGTATTTTTCCTGCTTCACAAAGGTAGACAGCAGCTTGACAAAGCCATGATGGCAATTATTTTACATCCAAGTTGTATGCACTTCTTCATATATATGCACACACATCAATTTCAAACAGATTGTATCAGTATGGTATCGGCCAATACTGCACAGCCAGGTATCGGGGCCAAAAATGGCATCGGTGCAACACTACTTTTTGTATGATGTACAGGAATTTCATCTTTAAATGAAGCAAATAATCAGAAATGTATGTTTCCCTCTTGATAATGTGTAGTTTGTCACTGCTTGCATTGAAACTATGAAATGTCTTTTGCTTTGCTCTGTGGGAATCACTCCAGTCTGCCTCATTCTACTTCATCAATGGTCCTTTGTGTGTTGCAGCCATCCGAATGCAGCTGGATTGGAGTCAGCTAAGAAACTTGCTGAGAGTCTGCTGGAAACTGTAGGTCCCTATAGTAAAATTTACTGTGTTAACCAGAGCTAGAGATTATAATAGGAGGTGTAAGAAGGTGAAACTATTGAAGCATATAGTTTTCTCTGATACCCACCTCCAAAATGAATCTGGTAGCGTGAACCACCTGATCTCCAGTTATAGATCTTGAGTGCTCTGCACCTACCCACATGGTCATTATTGACAATGAATTGCAGTGTTTAAGGAATTTAGTTATCTCCCAGGTATTGTTTTAGTTATTTTTTCCATTTTTTTCCTGTAGGTGAGAGCCGAACATGCCCGGATGATGTCGATGTACACAACTACTGGCGCACCTCAGCGTGAGTATCACTTCACAAGTTGAAACCAGAGGGACAAATTCCAATAAGTTAATCTAATGTCAGATATCAGCTGGCTGAAATGTTCTTTTGATTAAAGAATATTCCCCTGGCATCTTTAGTGGTTGAGTTGGTAAGCCTTTATTTAATTTATTTTGAAATTAATCGTCTATAATTTCATTTCAGCATACGCAGCACATGGATTTCCAACTAATAGCAGTTACTCTAGCCAGGGGTCCTGGTATAACTACCCAGCAAATGGGTATGCTGGCGGCTATGCAGCGTATCCAGGAGCCGGTGGTTATTGGAGTAGTGCAAATGGCCCCCCAAGTCAATCTAACCTGTCGACAACCCCATCTCCATCTTCTCAGGCAATGATTCAGTACCCAGTGTGTCCCAGGAAACCACATCCTTTTCTTGTCCAGGTAATTACTGACTCCTCAGGATTAGCTTCTTACAGTGTCATGTATTATCAGAACTCAAAATCTGTTGTATGTTTTTCTCACATCCTAAATTATTTGGTTCAAACCAGGGAAACTCATTGATTCATTACAACAATGTTTATATTTAAAGTGTTTATTTCTGTTAAACTTGTATTGTTTTATTATGCGTTACATTTATGGAAGAGCCAAAATCTAGTCTCTATTAGTATAAAAGGTTATCTAGCAAGCCAGACTGATGAGCACTAAGGTCTTGTTCTACCTGTGAGCATCTGGGTTCCCATCGAGTCTGTTTGGGGATACGAGGGGCTTTCAGCAGAGCCGATTGAGCAAAGTGACTGCTAGTGTCCATCTACCAAAGTTTTTTTAGCCCATCATAACAAATAAAAATGTCAGTAGATACGAGAAACCACCACTGCCTTCACTTATAATACTCTTGCATTTTATCTTTTAAAGATTAAATAAGGGATTCTGAAAAAAAAATTGGTAGCAGCAGCGATGCTTGGATCCTCCTCCGCTGCCATGTTTTCCATTCGGCTGTGGGCTTTGCAGCTCTTGCGTCTAAATATCCCACATTAAACCATTGGTCCCAAATGGTCGAAGTGGAAAAGATAAAAAAAGGTACTTAAAGTATTTTGTATAAGGTGCAGTTTATGCAATCAATGTTTGGTTGGGGCTCCCTTTGGCTTTGAGTCGCATGGAAGCCATCAGCCCAGGCTGAAAATGGCATATTTGCTGTTCTATGAGCCCTAATGCAAGCCTGGTTAAAAGCCCTAGAATGAAACGACAAGTTTCTTCCTTTTATGGTATGCTCCTCAATATTTAGATGAGCTGTGCGCTGATTGGTTGGTTTACAACGAGCAAAGCTGCTGAGAAAAGACTCATCATAGCAACAAGCACTCACTCACTGAAAAATCAAATTGTGGATATGGAAGGTTGACCAGATGTCCTCCTTTTCTCGGACATGTACTTTTCATACCCAAAAAAATGTCCGGGGGGAATTTCAATATTGTCAGGTATTTGGTCGACTACAGTGCAGCACGTAGTTGAAACACACCAAGCACTCAAACCGAGCTGTCAGCTCCAGGGCTGGTCCTGGAACCACAGCGGACGGAGTGACTGAACCAGACCCGGTAACGGTAGCCTGGACACCGGCAGCCCCTTGCTTCCCCCCGCCTGCCTTACCGGTCCCCAGCCCCCCTCCTCCGGCTGAGGACGGGCATCTCAAGGCTATCTGCTGAGGTCTGGTCCAGTCACCGGCCCAGCAGATACCATTTTTTTCTAATTAAATCAACAGCTCAACAAGACATGGGGGGAAAAAAACACAAAAACATGTCGCTCCCAAATTAACTGGTAGGCGGGTCTTCTCACTTGGGAGATGATTAGATGAAGGGCAACAACGTTAAATTGCATAGCTCAAAAAAATAATCACCCTGAACCTAAACTAAGGTTATGTTTCTTTCTTCTATACCACACTGAACGGTTCATTGGTGTGCTTGGATTCAGCTCACTGAGCAGCCATCTTTATTAGGAATAAACAGCAACGTTTTCCACAGCATTGTAGTAATATAACTTAAGATGTAAACATTAATTTTTTTTTTTTGAAAATCGATGTATTTAGGTTTTCATTCACTGCAATTATAATTAATATAAACACTTTAAATATATTCTTGTGTTTAATGAATCTATATGTTTGACGATGAGACACACTAACAGAAGAACATCTGAATTATTTAGAATACATTGATCATTCGAATCGATGGTCACCTTTGAGTGGTTGCAGTATTTTGTTTATTTTACGATGCTTTGAATGGCCTGGCCCCAGCAGTGTACATATGTTGGTTGTGCTCTACTTAAGGATCCAAGCAGCGGTGAGACAGTGGAGCCTGAAGGATGCTTAAACACCCCCACTGACTCAGGAAGTCCCAAACATCAGCTCCAGGAGGGGGCTAAGGATGAGCAGGTTAGCTGGAGCATTGACGCCTCGATACATGGATCCAAGCTCATTCTGTCCGTGCTAAAGCTTTGGATCTGTTTGGATTTAGAAAGCTTCAGGCATCACTGCTACACCTGGAAGCTCAATGTTGTATTTTAAATCAACATTTTGCTCCAAATCTTTCTATTCCTTTAAATTGTTTTTTTTAGAATGCTTTCTCTGTTTTAATATTGAACAGACCTAAACGGTTCATTTGATACAGGGATAAAAAAAAAAAAGGAATCTCTTTTTTACAACCTAAATATCTTAAGAAAATATTCAGTTTTAATTGTTGCAAAATTGTAAAGTTTAAAGAATGTTCGACTCTTTGAAATATATGCAAAATGATGAACTTGTATTTAATTATGACTTTGGTCATAAATGTAATGAGTATTTAAAAAATATTGAAGTACCTTTATGGAGAAAACCAAATAACTTTTTTTTTCTCTAAGGCAGTAGCTGATACCAATGGTTTTCGCATCAGATCTAACTGATCGCTGATATATGCTGTCGATCCTTTTTTTATGTAACATTTTTCTAATGTTGCACATATCTTCACTTAAAAAGAAATAAACAATTACTACCTAATCAAAAAACATCAACAATTAAGAGCAAATAGAGCAGCAGTGTATGCACTTTATGTGGCCTCCTGGCATGGCTGCTCTATGCACTAATGAATCTGCAAACTTTTACATGTATCACACAATAAAAGGGGAGGGGGCATACATATTGGCCTATCTCTATTCACAACTAAGGATTATGTAGCAACTCCTGCGTGTTAGAATATAAGGGTGACCCGTTTGACTTCCTCTCTATTTAATACCTCCAGCTGGCTGCAGCCTTACTACAGTCTGAACATGGTTTTTATTTTGTTGAGAAAACAGAAGAATTACCTATTTATGCAGCAATAGGCAAAAAAAATTGCATAAAGAAAATCTCAGGCGTGGTCCACCCTCTCAATTTAACAATCTTAAATGTTTTTTGTAGCCTACCAGCTGCCCTCCAGAGGGTCCGGCTCACCTGGAGTCCACCCTTCCTTCATCCAGTGTAGGAGAGGAGAAAGTCGTAGAAAGGTCTGATTTCTAAACATTCTTTCATCTTTCTTGAGATGATTTTTAGGTGTAAAACTTTATTTATTCTCTTCAGGATTTTGATGCCGCCTCCACCACCACCCTTTGTGGTTACTCCCCCCGTTGCGCGCAAGAGGCCAAGAGAACCAGAGCCAGAAGACCCATCTAGTCCACCGCCCAGCTCCTCCGCATCAACGGGTATGCATTTCTTCTTTTCCAGAATATTCTGAGAGCCTGAGAGCTCAAGCATAAACTTCGGTGGAGTTCTGTGTTGCATGTGGTAGCATCTCCCCCCGTGGATCCATGGGGGAGGAGTGGAGACCTGTATGAATCGCACCACAGTTGAAACTCGCTAACACGCTCTTCTTGTATATGTTTTTTGTCTTTCCCTTGTTTTCTCTCTCAACATGTGTCCATGGACGTGCCTGTAATGGATGTGTGCTGTGCTGCCGTTTGATTTTGATATCTTCCCTCCCCTGGCCCTGGATCAAACCAACTCATAAACCTCGGCTTATGTGGGGCTCCTCACTGGGTTTCCATTTGGTTTTGTTCTCTCTCTTTGGCCCCCCTCCCCTGTTTCTTTCCCACCTTCCCCTTTTCTCTGTTTCTTTTTCTCCTATTGTGCTCCTACAGGTGTTCAGGAAGAGGTGTCTGTGAAGAAGACTAAAGTGAACGCTGATACTTCTGGGCTTGTGCCCTATGGGGGAGATTCCTCAGATGAAGAGGATGAGAGGACCCACAGCAGTAAGACAGAAAACCTATAACCTCTGTCAACCTCATCCCCACTGCCCTGTGATTTTTACTGACCAGAAGGTTCCACTTCAAGTATATTCTCAGAACTCTTTAAAGTCACAATAAAAGCAGAAGTCTGCCCTGAACTGCCTATACCAGCATTTTGATATATTTTCCTGTTTTTCAGTGGTTTAGCTTTTATTCTTTGAGAATAAGTTTTCATCCTAGTTCTACAAGTTAAGTGAAAATTTCAGTTCATAAAAAAATAATCATTTCAAGTAGGTTGGCAGACTTCAAAGAATAACATACAATATGTGATTTATCACTTAAGCTGCATAGGTTAGATGCATTCCTGTGCTTTACTAATCGAAAAAAACTAAACAAATTCTTTTGTTCTTCATGTTGAAGTTGGCCTCACAAAAGAAAGTCAGATCTCTGTTTATTTTTAAAGTAGGTCTTTGCTCTCAAATACAACTTAATCTGATGTAAATAGAAATGAAGCCAATGAATAGTTCACAGCTTGCTTGTAGTCAGATATAACTTTGAACTCTTTTCACTTTAATCTGACTCTAAATTTTGCCCTCATCAATGTTAATCCAGAGATTAGGTAAAAGCAAATCCCAACCACTGCACTTGTCAAAATATGGAGGTACACAGGGCGGACTTCTTAAGATGTAAATCCAGCTGTATATTGACTTTTTTTTTTCTTTTTTTCCCTCAAACTTGTTTTAAAAAGTCCCATAGTTCCCATTTTTGTTTTTAAACATCTGGTCTTGCTGCAGTTGCATATGGTTTAAATACATAAACTTCAGTGAAACCTTTTCTTATCTTGGAAAATGGTGAATGCCTGTTCCCGTGGAATACTATAATAAAACAAATACAATACCTGTTTTGTCTTTATTAATGTAATTCTGTCTGTGGAATTCTCATTGTAGCACACAATGTCACACTATTGAGAAGTAATGCAAACTTAGCTGTCTCATATTGTTAAACCAACTTCCTGCAGTCAGATAAATGCATAGTCAGGAGCTGCTATGCCATTGTGTAGTGTAAGAGCTCCTGGGTTGTCCAGGCTGAAACAGGGGTGAACATAATTCTGGAAGTGACAATGGAAGGTGTGCAAATGTTGCTCTAGATTAGCGTTGAAAAAGCTCAGTGTTCCCCTGTCGTAGTCGAGAGCCACTCCAATCCGCAGTGGATGCGCTGTAATCCTCAGGTCTGGACTCCAGCCATTATGCAGGAACTCGTATTTGTGTCTAAAAGCAAACAGGACAATGTGATGTTTGGAGGGAGTTCTGTTTTCCTCTAGTGTCTTTGCTGCACAACATCAAACCAGAAAAAAAAGCTGCATGAAAGTTTGTGTAGGCAGGATGAACATGCTGCCCACAATGGGAATCGCATTTGAAGCTTGTACGATATGCTGATCTAAAGGTTTCGCTAAATGTGACAATTCAAGCATCCTGGCATACCAGAGAGGTTGCTATGGAAACTCATAGAAGGCAACATACTTCTTTGTCCCTCCTTGGAGCTTAGGCTTTCACATAGCTGATGCCCACTTTTTTAGGTTGCTTAGGAAAAGAAAATATCTAAAATCTAAAAATACAGCCCTGCCCCAGTTTCTGTGGTAATAATCCCTTTGAGGATCAATGCATTAATGCTGATAGATTGGATATTAAAAATCTGCTTGGTCTTCAGGGCTGTTAAAATGAGAGCCAGTTTATTTTCGCCTGCTTGTACTAAAATAAATGACTGGGTGGCAAACTTATACCCCAGAAAAAAGTAAAACATTCCTGAAGAAAAAATGTTTTCATACGTATACCTTCCACTGATACACCTGGTATACAGTGTTTAAAAAACCTCATGAAAGTTTTTAGACACTTGATACTACTGGAGAGCATCCAGTAGTATAAAGTAGTCACATAAGCTCCCACTTAAAATGGCTAAAATACACAGCTTTGTCAAATTCAAGACCATGTTTGGCATTAGGCTTTTTTTTATTTTTATAACCACAGATACTCTTAGTCTGAATGTGAACAAAATGGTGAGATGAGGCCTGTGTCACTGAGCAGAAAGGTCTTCAAATCAATGGCAATGGCTGACTGCCCAAGTTAGTTCAAGAGCAAAATGCAACAAACACTCCAAAATCTATAAAGTTCCTCACAGGTCCTAAACTGACTAGTGTTATAGCATTTTTTGGGGGGTTAAAAGAGGAACCCTTTGATGTTTGAGGAAAAAAAAACACCCACCTAATATTGGTCAGAGAAAACCTAAAGCTAAAATGCAGCGTTTGAGGAAATTTCACAGCAACTGAGGCATGAGGGCGGGCACTTAATGTATAAGCCAAGAATTTAACAATCCATCTGAAGCCTGATGCAGAAATTGTTATGCAGCCGATAAAAGCTGGACCCTGTAAGCGGCAATGACCTAAGAACTATAAAGGACTTGCTTATATTTAAGAGACTCCAAGCCCCAGTCTTTATCTCTGTATAAACAACACGTATCAAACCAAACCCAGCTACAGTAAAAGGAAGAACGGCCAGAAATTTTCCTCGGGGTAATGTGATATTGGCTCTTCTAACTTTTTACCCATTTATATTTTGCAACTGACACCACTTCCCAAAATTGGACAGTACAATAAAAAACCAAATAGGTATAATTCTTGATAAAAAAAACTTTTTTGTTACCTGGATGGGGTGCGAATGTGTCTCATACACCAGGAGCTATTGTTTGCCCCGAGGTACGAGTCCCTGTCTGCGTCTTTGTACGCAACTCCAACACGAAACTCAGTCTCATCATCCACCTCAACTTCCCAGTAGTGCCTGCCTCGCACTGGGATAAGGTCTCCCAGTATGGCCACACATCTGTGCATGAAGACAAACACATCTACATTAGGAGTCAAAAGTTTCTATAGCATTCAGTCATACAAGCTACTGTTGAATATTTAACCTTGTGAAAGTATTGTCTTCAAACGCCATTGCTGTTATGGGCAATTCCTCATCTCCATAGAAGATAGTGAAGCCATCTTCTGACATGGAGAGGCAAGGATGAGCAGTGTCCTCCAAAAGATAGAAGAATGTGCCTGTTCACACAATAACACATAATACAAGCCTGGTTAGGATATTTTTTTAATGTGAGACCCTATTTCTAATGAAGTACATCATAAAATCCATTCAATATTTATTTAAATGCATCCATTTGTCAAGTTTGGTTGTTTTTGTACTGAGATATAAGCAAAGCTGAAATGTTATTTAGTCATTTGCTTGTTTTTAGTAGGAAATTAATTTCATTTGCATTAGAAAAAGCTGTAGGAGATGGTTTATCATCACTGAGGTCCTTCAGTTTTTGTTCTTGTAAATAGCATTCTGTTGTCCCTGGAAATCTGAAACCTGCACTTTTCAGGCACCAATTTAGAAACCTACTTTTGACTTTGCTGTTCATGCAAATGACATGATCCTCAATAATGAAAATCTATAAACTTAACATTTCTTTAAAAAAAATTCTGAAGAAGGTTCTCTACAGTCAACAAAGGACATATTCTGGAACAACAGAACATTTTAGAAGTTTAACAGTCTTTAAGTCTTCACAGTAAAGTAAGCAAATAAAAACTAAATCTGCCTACATTACCCAATGCATATTTTATGCATACAGCTTTTTTTTAAAAAGTAAATGCTGAGCAATCAGACAAAGGTATGGTTGGCCCAGCATTCTATCCAAAATGGTTAACAATAAGTTTAACAATATTTTAATTGATCATAGAAACCGTAAAAATCATGTAGCTACATTGCAGTACTTGAAGAGGTGTGCTGCATATAACTCGTAATTGAAAAGAGGGATTTGTGTCGTTAATAGGGTATTTTAAATGAAAAGCTCTGAGTGAATTGTCCATCATTTTATAAAATCACAGAAAGATAGTAAGAAAGGTTGTTTTGTTTTCTACCTGTTGTGGAGATGCTTATAGGTTCACTCCTGTCACTGGGACCACCGACGTTGACAGCTCTCACAAAGATGAGGTAATGTCGCCCTGCTTGCAGCTGGATCATACACTGACAGGTGGGCACAGCTACTATAGACCTGGAAATATCATACGAGGGGAAAAAAATACTTCTTTCTTAGAGGGTTTTTACAGCCTGGAAATTGCACTGTACCTAACTCTTTGAAATACTGAATAAATAAATTTAAAGTCTTAACTTGGAACTTCAAATTGTATTTTGCAACAAGAGGATAAAATATAGCAATGACCCCAAGTGAGGACACATAAGGAAAACACTGCTGCAGGAGCTAAAGCTAAAAATAGATTTTCTAGAATAGAGGACATCTTGATTCAGCAGCTGTAAGACCATGGGGCCTAGAAACATTTTAAGGCAAGCACAACCCAGGCTCTCTATGAAGGTAATAACTAAAAACGATTCTTTCAACAAAAGCAGATGGGTATTAATACCATAGGGTGCAGAACTTTGTAAACTTCTATCACCTTGCACGGCATTTCCTTCTATATTTAACATGAACATTTCAGTTTATTGCCTGGTTTATTAAGCAAGCTTTAATAGGGTTTTAAAAGCTTTGCTCTTACTCGGTAATGTTGCTCTTTGCACCACCAGTTCCTGTCTCACTGAGCTCCACAGTATAGGAGTCTACAGGGTTGGTGTTCCCCGACTCCCATCGGATCAGAGCAGCTTCTGGGCAGCTGCTGCACTCCCTCTGCTTGATCACAGGAGGCGACGGCACTATGGAGACAAAGCTTGGACTATCATTTATAGCCTCAAACCTCCGACTCCAGGCTTACCTCATCGGCTCATTCATTGAAAAATGTTATTACTAAGTAGGGTTTTAAACGAAAAACAGTTGACATAAACACATTTTTTCCAAATTCCACATTGATTCCTGCAATCAACCACCTGAATATAAATCTTCATTAGGTTTGTTGATCAGGTGCAGTTTCAGGCAAACCTGAGTATGTCTTAGACACTTACCTCAGAGACCACATTTTAGAAAGACCAGAGAACTTGCCATGAATTCCGATTAGAGGTAATTGCATTAAAAAGAAATGATAGCAAAGGCTCTCAATGTCTGGAGAGACATAGGTCAAGGGTTAGTTCACATGTTTAAAGTTGAAGCACAGACCGCTACACAACCAGGACATTGTTGTTGAGGAATTAAGGGGTTAAATTAGATTCCTGAGGAGAAAACCCTTAACTGGCTGGAAGAAGGCATGCAGGAAGACTTCAGAGGTTTTATTTTCTGCATAACTGGACTGCACACTTAAAAGCTCTGTGCTCCAACATGTTAACCACCACTGACCCAAAACCACAAGAAAAGTCCCCTCTGATTTCTGTTCTGTGGAAAGATGAATAAAAACATGAACTTTTGGATTAGCAGCATTTTCATTACCTGTCATGTATAATGCCTTCTCACTAGCTGGGCTGATGCCTGTTGTGTTGGTCGCCGTCACCCAAAGCTCATACTGTGCATTAGGGAGCAGATCAGTCACAGTGCAGTGAGTCTCCTTCACTTTGATCTTGCTTTCTGAAAGAAAAAAAAAGAAAGTTGTATATCGGCTAAATAAATTCAGGAAGAAAAAAAACAACTGCTTTATCTGTTAATGCTTCCATAACTCTGCATGGATTTATCTAGCAGAGTAAAACAGATTGAAGAAAGTCATACCCTGTGGTGCAAAGGTATTCTCTGCAGACACATCCTCCAGCACTGGTCTGTAGTAAAGCTCATAGTACTCAACCGTGTCGTCAGAGAATAAACTCCAGCACACATGAAGGGAAGTCTGGGTGGCTGAGTTGGGCAGCTGGGGGTTGATCACT